AGTCTGGGTGTTCTTTGTGTCCGTTTCATGTATGTTTGTAAGATTCCCCGCGACACAGGATATTTTCCTAATGCGGGAGTTGTCTTTTTAAAAACAAAAAAAAAAAAAAAATATCCAGTTCGTATCCTTTACCATCTGGCTCGAAGGACCAGTTTGTTGGGAAATGTGGTCGTGTCAAAGAAAACTTCAAGTTGTACTTAAAAGCTGTATATTGAGTCGGACGGACGAAATCGAGTCGAACGTCGAACAGATTGTGTCAGTTAACCGACAGAAGAAAAAGTTAACATCAAAAAAGGTCCTAAAAACTATTGATAGTCACTATAATGTCCTCGTGTGTTGCCATGAAAATCCAGCAGGCGCTGTGCTCGAACACTCATGTGTAAGTAAATATCGTATGCTTGTGTGTTACCTAATATAAGTGACTGGATTTAACTAAATATACCTCAGTATCGTAGCATCAAGGAATAAGCGAACAGTGGTCTTACAATTACGGTAGCTATTTAGTTAGGTATAAATTAGGAGAACTTCTTCATAAAGAAAAAAACTGGACAGTAGGTTGAGAGCAGATTTGACCTTTTTAACGCCTATTGTTTTTCTATGTTTCATTGGTTATTGTTTTATCGATCCAAAGCCATGTGTAAGATAAATTCAGCCAAAATGGTGTAAGGTCTTATTTGTTAAGCTCTACCCGAAATTCACATAAAATGGTTAACTTGTGTAAGACAATAACCGACAAGTGAAATTTTGGTTTGTGTCTTATTTGTAACGAAATGTATACTTTGCCAGTTTTTTTTTGTTAGTTATAAATGGTTCGAAATCGCTTCTCATTATTTATATTTATATTACTTTCCGTAAATAAAAACGACTTATTCACCTACCTAAAACGACGACAAAGATTTTATCAAATAGAATAAAATTGTATACTCTTATAAGTACTTATATGTTTTTTTGTTATGTTATGTTATATCTATAAAATAATTGTCCTTTATTCAATTTTAATTGTCCTCTCCGTAAATAACTTCGTACATATTATATTTCTATTACAGGATATATTGAATTAAGTATATCAAAACATTGTCGTTTCCCCGTCGATTGACTCTTAATCCATTAACATAAGGTTTACATTTACTGAAAAGTCCGTAACCTGTAATTTGGCACAGTAGCCATCGTAAGAGCCGGGGTCAGTGAATTTGGACATCAAATATGCAGCTTCGCAGACTCTCCCAAACCACTTACACCAATTGCAAATGTTGAAAATGTTACTACATTGCACCAAAACTTATAATAGCTTGTGTCGAATGCACTTCAGCGTGGGGAACAGTAAAAATAACATTCAATCATCATTGAAGACTTTGAAACGACGATATATAAAAAGTTTAATCAAATGGAGCAATGAATAACCTATACATTGAGACGATGCGGTTAACTTTCTTGTCTGCAGTTATTCGTGCATGAGTATCTCCATAGCATTTTAGTATCCAATAGTCAAGTGATAATTCTGAAATCAATCTATGTAACACGGGTACATAGTAATCTAGATAGAAATAAATACTTAAAGACTTTAACCTCTTTTTAATTACCCTTTGTACATGAACCGATGTAAAGTTTAGAATGATTAGAGGTTTTCTTATGGCGATGCTAAGACAGCAAGATTACATACACGAGTCGACTATGTTTGTTGACCTGTTTTAGTAAGGAAAGTCTATACAATATTAGTTATACAGATCAAAAACATACCCACCTATTGAATTATACGGTGAAAGTAATTTTCCCTGCCGATCGTTTGTAACGATAAAACAAAATAAATTAATGTTCAGGAGTATTGATTTGAACTTTAAATAGAACATTCTTCTAGTTTCACCACTTAGAAGGTGGCACAGACATTATCAATGCACGCTTGATTGTAACTCCACTTTCATGTATTGAATTCTTTGAAAGGCGTATCGTCATAAGCAAATAAGGTATGCCGTTGTCTGCAGTTCTCTCAATTTATAAAGAAAATAAAAGATGTGTGAGAATTTCATATTTCATAAACTATATAAAAATCTAGAATGTTGAACATATACGAGTATATTTGTCGAACACAAACCCAGCTCTATCAAGATTAATGGCAGTAAATGCTCCAAATTTCGTTGAAGTCTTTGTTACAAGAGATAAAATACATACACACACTCTTTGTTAAAATAATAAAAGGTTCTTCAATTAATTTACTTGTCTTTTTATTGATTGAATATTAATATATTTAATTTTATAGAAGTTGCTCCTTAAAAGGGTCGTCCTGAACAGACACTAAGCGTTTAACTACAGCTTAGTGAAATATATGGTTCTTTATGTGGAACTTATCTATTTATTTTACTTAAATTGTGGACAATCCTGATTAGTCCTAGAAAACATTTAAACGCCAAAGTTCTTTTTGTTTGTTTGTTACGCTTCCACGTCTTGTTTACAGAAAACAGCAACTATATAAAAACAGACAACAAAAGGACATAGTCTACTTTTTTCAAGAAACAAGAAAATCCTTCCTAAAAACCGTTGAACTGACTTCAAACAATACTAACAAAGAGCACTAAAAACCTAGCAGCAATCGAAATCAAACGAGTTGGTGTCATTTTTTAAAGACTTTTGTTGTCTGTTTTCGAAACTCATCAACAGATATATATGAAATTTAAATGGGACCATTTCGGAATAAACCCCTTACGAATAATAAAGAATTTTGAAAATCCGTCTCTATATGACATGTTTATGCCCGAACATACATAAAAAAGAAACATCCGAATTGACAACCTCCTCCTTTTTGACGTCGGTTAAAAAGTACTGCCCTCGAGGGACACCACTCAGTAATATAGTCAACCGCAGTAATATATAGTCGTAGGTACAAAGCATGTGCTTAAAACTTTTCAATTTATGAAACTTTCACATAATGCAAGTGAAATTGCCGCTGGCAAGCATTTAATATGGATTCTTCACCGGTCGTGAGGCACAAAGTCTAATTATACGCGGCCAAGTGTTGTAAAATTACATATCATAAGTACGTTGGAACCATATCACATTGGATATGCACGCAAGTTCGTAACTATCAGTTGACATTAACTGTTAATGTGTTATAAGATCGTAATATTACTGCTATATCTGTATAATTAATTTGTTTCGATTACCTGCAATATACGAGTTGAGAGCATGAAGACAAATTTTCTTTATATTGGATTTGTTTTACGCATTTGATTTCAAGTCAAGTTGTGACCTATGACAGGGATTCCCAAACTATTATGGGCAAGAGACACCTTTTCTAAAATGAGTCAATGGGGGTCTGAGGTATCAGCCTCAGACCCCCATTGCCAAATTACTGCACGCTTATAGACTTGTTGACTTGTGTTAATTAATGCTACTATACTCGTCGACCCCTAAATCAGGTTTCGTTTATGTCGACATCTGGGAAACCGATTTTGACCCCAAGGGGTAGATATCGATCACTTTGGGAATCTATAACCCTAAGCTACCTCAGGGGTCACCTAGTTTCGGTTATGTCATGTTCTTTGGATAAATTCAAATAAATAGAGTGGTCTCGTTCGACGTCTCCCTGCAATAATTATCCAGACTTGTTGACTTCTGGTGTGGAGTCTCTCACCTTATGCTTTGTGTCTTTTTAGCCAAGTATAAGCAGCTTTTAAGCTAGTTCAGTAACAAGGCACATTTGCGGCTACATCGAGGTAGGTATTCTTATAATAAATGACGCGAATACTTTTGAACATTGATGACTATAATTTTTATGTCTCTAGTTTTTCAGGCTATACGGTCACTTCAGATTTTTTACTTGCGGAAGAGATTTTTTCACAAATAAAAAACACGAGTTACTTTCTATAAAATCACCTTTTTAAGTATTGTAAAAGTAAGTGAGTTAAATATCCGTCTAGCTGCTTCAGAAATTAGTCAGAATAAACAGATATTCCAAGCAGTTAAAACTGAAAAATAAAGCTGAAACCATATTCAAGTAACTTTCAATGAGGTGTTGCATTTTCATGTATATTGCATAAGCAGAAGCAAACTTAACCAGTAAATAAATCTCAGTAAAAGACTATATAAATGAAACTGAGTGAAGTGACCTAAAAGCTGGCACGTCTGGAGCCTTTTAACTTGTCTCACTTTAGAAATAGACACCTTGCTGTCGGGTGAAACGAATGCCGATGCCGAGAAAGGCTTGTTTCTTCTCTATTTGCAGGTTTTACGTTACAGCGTTATAATAAAAACAATAGTATTACAGCTTATATTACACCTCTATCATTTATATTTAAAGTTCATGTAATAATTTCATTTCACATTCCCCTTAGATAGTGATTCCAGCCATATGTCAGGCCTTTTCGAGTTCGGTTAAGTTAAAAACCTACTGTACTCGTATAGTAGCTTTGTAAGTCTTTTTACTCTTTAAACTTTTACTGTAGGTATATGAGGAATATTCCAAGAGATCTCTGTAATCTGGAAATATCTGACCAATCCAGTTATTTTGTACTCTACGTAAGTTCCTACGACTCTTACATATTTACACGTCTAATGGAAAAGTTCCAAATGTTTTTAAAACCCTCTGATTGTAAATATCTATATTACCATCAGGAAGGTGTTTTGAGTAGATGGTTCCTATCAGTAAATGTCAGATAAAAGCGGAAGGGATCCCATAATATCCTTGGCCGGTTTTCGTAACTATTAAAAAGATTTTAGGCTAAGATAGACACGTAGAGAGCTCACCGCAGGTAACATAGCGTGCACCCAAACGGAAAATGAAAAAAGTCTCTGCTTTATTAACAGTGTTACGGTATGATAATGTAAAATGAAATGTAATTTTGCTAAATATCACCAAAGAAAGGCATACTTTTTCTTATTTCGTCTTCAAAAAACAAAAAAGTTATTAAATTATGGATACACAATTTTTTTTAAAGCTTCTTTCTGAAATGCTTTTACTTAACTTATCATTCTTAATTTTGTTGACAGGTGCATAGAAAGTGGTTAAGATGAAGTGGGGGGGCGAAGCGCTAGTCCGAGGCGCGACAGCGCAGTTTGCTGGAGTGGGACGCCTACGCCGTGCCTTGGTACTACTGGCAGCTGCAGCCTGCACAGCTGCTGCGCTGCTGTATTGGAGACAACAGAGCGGTGACCGCGCCCACAGACCAATACACGCACTTTATACGTAAGTTGCAAATTCTTTATTTGGTTTCTTACAGATCAGAAAATATTACCTAGCCAGGATCAAGATAATACAAAACTGCTACAGTTGCTATAAAATATAGCTTACTATAGTCATAATGGCCCTGTACTTCCGATCGGATGTAGGGTTTTGGTTTCGGTGGGAAGGCTTTAAAATGAACCTATCAACATAAACCCACCTAGGTTAAATGTAGGAATTCATGAGAATACTTGTAACGTATGATTACTTACTACTATACTTATAACCAATGAGTCATGGTTGGTTTTGGCAACAACCCTTAAAATGTTCACCAACTTTAAAGACATTGTACTTTAAAAATATTATCATAATTGGAATTTGTAATATATATTTTTTTTATCGGAAAACTTATAACGTAAGATACAATTAATTAATCAACCTGTCGCAGCCTGTACATAGACCTCTCACAATTTCCACTATAGCACACGTTACTTCTTTATAATTACAGAGAGGTGGAGCCACAATGGTCATGGGTCTGTCGAAACTACCGCTGCGAACGGCTGCTAGCATCAGAAATGACAACCTTGCAGTCGCTTCAAACGTGCAACATGCTATGCGATTCAACGCAGCTATGGCCCCAACCCACGGGTCCCGTCAGTCTCGCCACCGCCGTCGTACCGGTGGTTATAGACGGCTTTAGTTTAAAAATTGTCTCCTCACCATCTAAAGAAGTCAGTGATCTACTATCAGAGGCTTTTGAAATGATGAAAGACGACATAAATATGCAGGAAGAAGATGACGACATTCGACAAATCAGCTACGGCTCTCCACGGCCTGTTGTCGTACGTGTTGCTATCAACGGAAGCGCAGATCCGCGCATGAGGCTCGACACCGACGAGAGCTACAAACTGTTCTTGAGACCTGTAAAGAAATCGCTAGTCGTCGATATCACAGCGCAGTCGTTTTGTGGTGCAAGACATGGTTTTGAGACTCTATCGCAGATAGTATGGCGAGACCCTTACGCTGGAACATTACTTATATTAGAAGCAGCGACCGTCGTAGACTCACCGCACTACTCGTACCGCGGTCTCCTACTAGATACGGCACGAAACTTCTTTCCTACAAAAGCGATAATACGTACAATAGACGCGATGGCAGCTTGTAAGATGAACACGTTTCACTGGCACGTTAGTGACTCTCAATCCTTCCCTTTGCGACTTGATAGCGCCCCTCAATTGGCACAACACGGTGCTTACGGCCCTGATGCCGTGTATACAACCCAAGACGTGAAAACGATCGTACGCCACGCAAAACTACGCGGCATCCGCGTTCTTTTAGAGGTAGATGCACCTGCGCACGTAGGACGTGCCTGGGGCTGGGGGCCCGCCGAAGGACTAGGCCATTTGGCGCACTGCATCGAAGCAGAACCGTGGAGTGCATACTGCGGAGAGCCTCCTTGCGGTCAACTGAACCCACGCAATCCTCACGTATACGAGCTATTGGAGCGTATCTACAGGGAAATCATAGAGTTAACGGAAGTCGATGATCTGTTCCACCTCGGTGGAGATGAAGTGTCAGAAAGATGTTGGGTGCAGCACTTTAACGACACGGACCCGATGGATTTATGGTTAGAGTTTACTCGGGGCGCTATTAAGTCACTGGAGCGCGCTAATCGCGGTAAGCTACCCGATATATCGCTGCTGTGGTCGTCGAGACTAACGCGGTCGCCGTATTTGGAACGGCTAGATCCCAACACCATCGGCGTGCATGTCTGGGGCTCCTCGCGCTGGACTGAATCACGAGCAGTGCTAGACTCCGGCTTCCGGGCAGTCCTCTCACATGTGGATGCGTGGTACCTCGACTGTGGATTTGGCTCGTGGCGTGACAGCTCCGACGGCCATTGCGGCCCGTACAGGTCTTGGCAGCAAATGTATGAGCACCGGCCTTGGACAGAGGAAAGCGCAGCCTTAGTACCGGGTATCGGGAACGCAGCGGCGTGGCACGTAATGGGCGGCTCGGCGTGCCAATGGACGGAGCAGCTGGGCCCCGGTGGCTTGGACGCGCGGGTGTGGCCGCGCTCGGCGGCCGTGGCAGAGCGCCTGTGGTCGGACCGCGTGGAGGGCGCCACGGCCGACGTGTACCTGCGCCTCGACACGCAACGCGCGCGCCTTGTGCGGCGCGGGGTCCACGCCGCGCCACTGTGGCCGCGCTGGTGCGAGCACAACCCCAACGCATGTCTTTAGCGCGAGCCATTTGAACATTGAGGGAAAAGCATATAGCGCTAAACGTGCCCGATGCACGAATCATTACGTCATACTTACTTTACACAATGCTAAGCATGCGCGAGGGCCACAAGTGCATTGCACAGCGGCACCTGGCGCTACAGAGCAACCGCTGATAACTTAGCGAGTAGTCATAAGTAGTTAACGAATGAGATTTCATAGAGTTAATAGTGCGATTTACTTACCAGCTTGTAAGCGTAATCATGGAGGTACTTTTGATGTACATAGTAGAACTTAACTGATAGCGTAGGAGATTAGATAGTAATTGTACAGTGCTTTTTTGTTATTAACTCGCAAACTGCTCTTAGTACAAGTTTTCACACTAAGAAACAACAAAAAAAATTCAAAGCCTCGTTTCCAATGAAAACATACTCAGGCCTGAGTCTCCCACCTCAATCTAAAAAAAAATTTTGAAAAATCGATATTGAATCGCGTTGTAAAGAAAGGTGTCTAATTATTTCATTAAATAATCATCAGGTATGATCATTTCCAGCTACCTGGAGAATTTCCGACTTATCCCCCACGTTGATATGTCCATGTCTATTGGGTACTGATACACATTTTTTAATGTAAAGGACATTTAAAAAATGGATTGTTACGTGGAGGTCTCAAAAGCCATTGTCGTTTTGATAATTTACAGACTTGTATTAGGGGCAATTAACTAAGAAGACGAGTTCCGACGAGAATACAGCCATTCAATAACAAGTACTCAATCTTATTAATATATATTTGTAATTTATTAAATATAAGGAGATACATAATAACGTGTTATATTATAGCTAGGCCTGTGTTGTAAATGTAATAAAAGTATATCGTAATAATAGTGCTGTTCCGTTATAAATTAATTGAGAAAATATGTTATTTCTTTAAAAGACTATTGTGTTAAAACAATCGTGGTAGAACTCTTAATAACCACCATAGGATAGGAATAAAAGAATAGAAAGGAACAGAATACTAAAGAAAATAGAGGACGAGGTAGGATGTAGGATAAACGAAACTTCTTGCAATATAGGGTTGTCAAATGGTACTATGGGTGTTGAGTGTTCATAAGCAAAGAGAACCGCCTACTGTCAGTAGGATGCGTGACCCTACATGTCACCTCAGCAGTATACGACTTGACAGATAATTGTAAAAATAGTTCTTCTATCTTATGAATTTGTATTTCTACTCAGTTTTGAATCAAAAATGGGTTAGGATTGCTAGTTTTGTTATATCGTAACATCACCAATTTATAATCACAATTATCATAAGGTACTGAGCTTTCTAATTAAATGGCAACAAAAAGTTAAAGTTGCTTGTTTTGTGATCTGTATTATTAATGTTAGATGTTTAGCTAGTTCAATCATGTTTATTATTAAAGAGGAGCTGTTCGATTTGCGAGATAGACAGTGTACCCTTTGTGTATTGTTATTTGTTATATTTAAAGTAATGTTTGTATTTTTGTGTTGAACTCGACACTCGAGGTAGGCACATCGACTTCTACACAAGACATAATATTTTTCCTAAAAAATACTGACAAACTTTGAACTAAACGTTATTTAGATTTTATAAACCTTATTGTTTAATCGATAAATATATTCAAAGTTATTTCAAAACATCACTTCTTAAAAAAAGACCCTGTAAAACAAAAAAAAATAACGGGCTCACTTGTCAATGTTTTACTTTGTAGTAAATCAATACTTAAATTATAATTTAAGAATAAGTATGTAAAATTATTTAATCTGATTTACAAAGTTTATGATAAAAATCTTCAATTAGTAAGCGTCATTCGAACGAAGCACTACACTGTGCCCTTAGTATGATTAGTACATTTTACGATACTTACTTGAAGATTCCCGCCATATTTACATATGAATTTAGTTACCCAATGCTTCCACCAAGGACGCTACCAGGCTATGAACTAGTGATGCGCAAAATGTATCACTGAGCTGAAAAGATTGATATATATCATTTCGCTCAAAAGATATATATCACTCATCTAGCTCACTAGCTCATTTAGCTCACTAACTCGTTTAGCTCATTTAGCTCACTTACTCGTTTAGCTCACTAGCTCATTGATCCGATTCAATTGATTGGTCTCTTAATAATTCATTTCTTCATCTAGATCGTTTAGCTCAGTATACTCGTATATCACTCACTTTAAGCCTCTCACGCCATACAAAGCTTTCTTTATTTTCATATTAACCTAAATTCAGTTTTTGAAACTACATTTTTAACCTATTTTTTTTAAATACAATTTTATTCATTTTGATAAGATTACATAATTATTAACACCCTTTTACTAGACTTGCAACGAATATTCGGTTACTATTCGGTATTCGGCATATTCGGCTGCTTTTATTATATTCGGCCGAATACCGAATATCTACATATTATTCTGCTGAATACCGAATACTTAATAAATAATATATTTTGTCATTGAGAAATAATTGGTAAAATGAAAACTTAAAATCGATTCATTACGTATATATTCATATTTTCATTTCTGTTATAATCATTTAAGTAGTCATTGATGCATAACACAGGTACATAATCATCTTCTGAATTGGAAAAATGGAGGATTCTATGTATTTGAATTATTGTGGTAATCAAAATTTAGAAGGGTAAGGTTCTCATTTCTTTTATAATCATTTATTAAGTAGTCATTGGTACATAAAACAGGTACATAATTTAATTCACGTCTGTACAAGTTTTTGGCGCTAAAATCCAGCCGAATACTTTTGCCTAATATTCGGCTATTCGGTCAGGGGCCTCCCCGAATATTCGGTATTCGGTATACTGCCGAATATACTATTCGTTGCAAGTCTACCTTTTACATAATAATTAAAAATAAGAAATATTTCTTGTACTTTTTTTTAGATTATATAATAGAAATCATACATAATTTGATTTTCCTTGTACTTGGCTTAATTCTTAAGTAATAATTAACTTTGATACTATAGAAATAATGTACATTTTGCATAAAGAAACTTGCGTGAACTCAACCATCATCTATCTCACTCATTTATCTGTAGTCTCACTCGCTCATGAAACAAAGATCGGCGTCGTTGAGCTAGTGAGCTAGTACTGAGTTACTGATATATTCGGAGCTAGTGTGAGTGAGTGATATATTCGGAGCTAGTGTGAGTGAGTGATACATTTTATCGTCGTGAATGATATACATCTTTTATATCACTCACTCAGGAGTTACACAATCAAAACACAGTTAAAAAAATCAGGCTTTTGTAGTTCTAGTAATACTAGAAATTTAATGTGATCGAACGTAAAGCGTGTAGTAAATAACTGCCACCAGTTAGGGCTTATAAACTTAAAGACCGCTCAAAATCGGAGTTAGTTTTAAGAGTTACTCACGGCAACAATGAAGGAAAGCCGTGAGATCCTCTTCTGAGTGGAGCGAATCGCAGAACATCTAAAAGCATAAAACACAAAACTGTTACATTTTCAAAAGAAAATGTAACAGTTTACAAAATGTAACGGTTACAAAACTAAAAAGTTTCTCATGGAGAATTGGTATATCTTGTTGATTGTCTGCTCTGAACTATTTTCAGCAATTTTATTAATTGTATTGGTACCAAGGAGATTTCCCTAGTGGCTGTTTGCGGAACTAACGTATGACAGATACTTTCACCTAGCTGTGTAATAAAAAGAGCCGGTTTATTGATTTTTTAAATTATTTATACAAAATTTTGCTATGATTTCACTGTTAGACATCTACGAAGTGGTAAAAAATACCAAAAGACCACTCCGTGAGGGTGAACAGTATTTTAAAAGTGGAATGTGTGTTGGTGTTAAAGAACGAAAATCTGAAAAAGTTAAGTGTCTGGGCTTAGCTGCACAAACTTCTGGTGTACTTGATTATCCACATGAAGTAATAACCTAAACATTGAAATTAGAAACATATTATCATAAAAGTGTTGAAAACTTCTGATGTGAATAACAGTAAGGTTAATGATTATTAGAAAGGAATCTAATTCGGTAAAATGTTCTGAGCAAACTCGCATATAATTTGATGAAGGTTTTCCTAATCTAAGAACACTTTCCCAACGTTTTCTCAACTTGTTATCAGTAGGAAAAATATGAAAACTTAAACCCTCTTTATTATAATTATTACATTGAGGAACACAACAGTATTTCCTTTTTTTTATTATTCTTTGTATCCATCTTAACACTTAAATTATCCTAATCGATCGCACAATTTTTTTTTAATTCTTGAAAAATTATGAAACAATTATGAACAAAACGGTATATTCTACGTATATTCGTATTTCTATCTGTCATACATCAGTTCTGCGACTTGCCACTAGGGAATCTGCTCATCGCCAATACCTACTAGTTTAGGGCGTTACTTTTTAAATCAAGCGTTATTAATCTGAATGGTATACTATAAATCTGTCTTATTACGAAATATTAATCACTAATCATTTATTATTTATTTATTTACCTACAATTAATGGCAGATTGTTGTGCCTAGTAGAACTATTTCCCTTTATTTTGAATCCCTCTTGAACGTACATAAATTGATATTAGAAGGGTGTTTTACTCTATATTATAGCAATATGTTCATACTGAGAAAACGAATTTAAGGCAGTATAAATGGTATTGAATACAAATTTTACACATCTACATTTTTACTATTTTCTAGAATTTCCACGTAGTTAACAATAATAGTTTTATATTTTAATTTAATAACAATTGTTTATTTGTGAACAGCATATTAAATGAGATTTTTGTAAATAATGCAAATTGTTTTGTATATTACGACTTTATTAATTTATAATTTAATTTATTTTTATAGCTTAAAGTCCAGTGTTTTTATACAAAGCTGTGTAACCTGTTTTTTTGTTATTGTACAAGATCGTATAGGGGCTTTGTGTATCACAATAGATACATTATACCTTAAGGGTTCTACCACAGAAGGCACAGAAAGAGCAATTAGTGTATTTAAAAAACAAATCTCGGACAACGTGAGCCACAAAACGTTTTTATTTAAAAAGCCAATTAAAGCTGCATCTCTTGGTCTTTATCTGTGGTTGTTAACCTATAAGGTTAAATGTCTTCGGGGAAAGGTTTCCGTGATGTTAGTGTAGTTCCTGAATTAATCTGAAAACATTTATGGCAAGATTGTTGTCATCTATGTTGTGAATTGTAAAGTCAAGTGAAGTGAAGAATATTTTTCACAAAATAAAAATAAAACCTTTCATGTATGTACCAGGTCAGCATAGTGTCCTCCTGTTTTAATTTTTAATTGAGTTTTGATTGTAATGTGAAAATACATAGATAGACAATTGTTAAAGAAAGCACCAAACACAAATAAGCCGAAGTTTTTTTAAGGAACAGACAACCATGACAAAAATATATTAATGAAACAAATTGAATTGTTTACAGTTTATAACAGTTACTTGTATCCTAATATTAAGTGAAAGATAACTAGACGTTTTACCCGTACTGAAAATAATTTCGATGTACATGCATACAATACGATAATAATTTTAAAGCATTATGTTAATGAGCTAGATTTTTCATTCCCCCAATAAATGTGATGATTAAACAGAAAGAAGCTTTGTTTCAGTTGATTTTGTGTTAGAAAACCCACAAATGATCCATTCTTCCCCGCACTCTTTCATGTTGTGTCCGTGGTCGTGCATGCCTGAAACTGATGTCTCGGCAAATATATTTATTATCTGATTTAAACAAAGTACCTAAATTTTGCAAGCCGCTGTCTAGCCCGATACTTGAATATTGTCCGGTAGGATAGTAAAATTAAGCCGAATAGGCCTAAGATACATATGGCAACGAAAAGACAGAAGGCGAGGCAATCAGAATTAAGACTAAGGCAGTTAGAGAACCCCGCTTGAACCACCCAACCCGGCTTAAGGAGCGTACTCGTCCTATTTTTTTTTTAAAGACTACTTCCGCATTAGGAATATATCCTGTGTCGCGGGGGACTTTACAAACATACATGAAAATTAACACAAAGAACACCCCCAGACTCAGAACAACAATTTGTGGATCACACGAAGTGTCGTCCCATGTGAGGGTCGGACCCACAACAACACTCAGCGCTGTAGTAAGTCGCGACGTGTGCGTTACCCCAGCAAAATAATGTCGAAAATGGTCATTTAAACGTTATAGAAAATTAGTTGCTCCCCTTCTGTAATTGTTAGGCACATTTTTAAATTTGTTTTACTTAAACTTTTTTAGTTATTTCAAAAAAACATTTCCTGCTGGGGTAACGTTTGAAACGTTACCGCAGCCAGACATTTTCTTTTTTAATTGTAATATTGAAATAAATGTTAGCTAAATAATTAGTTATCTGGACTAGGTAAATGTTACAACTTATTTGGTATTTGTATTTTCTTCGGCTGCGAAGTTATTCGAGATCCTGCTGGAGTAACGTTTGTGGATTTGCTGGATCTCTGAAACGGGTAAGCGGATTGTAACCATCTTTTGTACATAACTTCTTAAGGATTAGTTTTAATTTGTTCGACAATAAAATAACAAAAATAATGGACCGTTTAAAAATTATTTAGGTAAGTATGAAAACACTTCAATACGTCCTAACAATTTGAATAAGACCTCTAAAGACTTACTTCAAACGTTATTCTATTGCTTGTAACTACCTTCAAATGTATACGAATTTTCGTAAGGATACTATAAGTGACTAAAAAGTTATGATGAAATGTTAATAATGTTGGAGAAAATAAAATATTTGATCACAAAATCACTTAAACTACTACGCCGTCCGTGCAGTAAATGTAGGACGAGTGATTTGAGAGGCCTCTAAGACAAGAATATTAACCGGCCTTTGTATGATAGGTATACAAAAAAATAATTAAAAAAAAACAACACAACCATCCGAAAGTGTGCGTGAGTGTTGGTACTTTGCACATAATAGATCAATGCTTTGCACACTCGTCACAAGTCGGAAGTCGTCACATAAGTTTATCAGTTATTGTTCAAGGCCGTTGTCATCTGCACTAGAAAACCTTGTCACACAGATGACCAGCCCCCCCCCCCCCCCTTTACCCTATGGTACAATGTTTGTATTATGCTTCAAGTCTAAAGCAGGAAAATTAAACATCGGTGCCGGGCAAAACATTAATATTTACAGTTACAAAACTTAAGGACAGAATTAAGTTCATTGTATGAATAAAGTAGGTTTCATAAATAATGTTTAAAGTCTCTATGTGTAATTCTATATCTTGGTCTACGATTGATTTATATATATATATTAATAGGTTCAACAAATTAACGGAATAAATCTTGCAATACCTACGCACTATCCTTTACTAATCTGATATTTTTAATTTGACGTAGTGATCACATTTTTTTTTAAATTTATTTCTACTAAACAGTTAACTTGTAATTTTTTGATTTTGGTAGCTGAGCCACATATCATAGAACAGCACATGAAATACAAGCATACAAACAATTGATTTTTACACATAAAATAATATATGTTTGTGAGACCCTAATTGTTATTAGAGGCCTGTTATTTCGTGAGCTCCTTCGAAGTAATTGAATCCTCACCATTCCTTCTTCGGACTACTAGACGCAAACAGAGGTCCCTTAAACGCAAGTCTACCTAAACACTGACGTGAGCTCTATTTTTGTTTCCAGTATAATCCTGGGACCTTCGAGTGATTAGATATCTCTTGTCTAAGGCGTGTACCATCTTCATCGTCACTTTTAGTCAAGTGAATTTGGGGAATCGGAAAATAAAATCTATCTTTTCGCAATTGTATAGTGTCAGCTAGCATGATGGCAACCGTCCTTGTCAATGTCATCGTTTTCAGAAAGGGTAAATGGGGTAAATATTATAGTATCGGGTGGAGAAAACTAGACTAATACTGCAGTAGTTCGAAAAGGACCAGGGCCCTGTGTCGATGCCCGATGACTTGTCACTAAACTGCCACTGATACAAATGTCGATGTCTTTGTAATAGTTTGGTAAACGGTACATTTTGAACTTGTAAGGAAATGATATATTTAATTTTCCAGATATGGCAATGTTTTTAACATCACCATTGTTGAGCCATTGCCACTAAATCGACAATTTATGTTACTATAATACACACATTTTGACCGATGTCATTGGCATCTCAATAGCGTGTAAATGGAATGACAGTTGATTGTACGTTTACATAAAATAGCAGAATTGAGTCCCTGCTCGGTACCTTCCTCGGCATGTCAAGTGACTTGAAAAATTCTCGGAAGACATAAAAATGTAAGTAAGGAAGAAATTTGATAAACTATTTTTAAAAGAAAATAAATTAATTTATTTATTAACAATTTCGTTTCACAATTAAATTTAACCAATTGTAAAAAAGAAACTACTTCTTCCTAAAAATATTGCTTAATCTTCTGCTCCTTGGCGTTCCCTGTAAACAAGTAAATTAAAAATAAGAAACCTAGACTTCATTTCATAGCAGAAATATAACTTGATAAATTGAAATAGAATCTAAGTAAGAATAACGGACATAAAGGGAGACTGGGGTATCGAGATTTCTATTCATCATCATCATCAACAGTCTATAACAGTCCACTGCTGGACATAGGCCTCTCCTTAGAATGGAGGTTTTGGCCTACTATACCACGCTGGCCAGACGGGTCGATATAGGGTTTTTTCAAGTTTTCCTTCTCTTTGCAGTGCTGTTGTCCTGCGTAGTTTGCTCCCTTAGTCGGCTCTTACGACACCCACGGGATGACTACTGACATTCTGTATTCTTAATCCGTTTTCTATCGTATCGTATCAATCGTATTCTTAATCGTCCTATTACAAACTATAAACTGTCACTTTTCGATTCAGTTTTTATTCTATAGCCGGATCCCTTTATATTTAAATTATTCGTGATTAATGGTAATGCCTGCTCGTGTACTAGCAGAATACTATACCACGTACTACTCGACACTTTCATGCAGAGATCTGCAACATTTACTCGGATCCCGAAACACTTAAGGAAAATATTAAATGGGTTATATGCGAATGCAAACAAAGATGCGAATGTAATATTATACTTACTTCAGTGGTTTCCACTTTGGAGGAGCGAAAGAGCGAGCGAATTCTCGACGGCGTACTTGTTTTACGTGACGGCTGCGGCTCGGTTTCTACACGTAACGACTCGCGTAGTTCAGAGTCCTAGAACAATCATAACAGTATTATCTTAGAAATAAAATAAGATTTCGTTAATCGAGATTTTGTTAGGACCTCTTCGTGACCAGTATTGTCTCAACACGTAACGTCTACGTAGAATTTCATGATGATCGATTAAACATAGTAAGAATAAATCAACTTAAGTTTGTAATGTTAGTGGAATTTTATTAGTAACAATTGTTTGTTTTTTTTATTATATTCAAGAATTATTCAGTATCTACCCAGCAAGACAGCACAAATTATAACAGCATCAGAAGAGACTCCTGTTTGGTTTATTTTTAAGGCGGACTCCTTTAAACAACCCAGCCCTTAGTATTCTTTATTTTTTAAAACGATAATTGTTGTTGTAATATATTTATTACGAAAAGTTAGGAAACTAACAGTAGCCGAAAGTCTTCCAGCTTGTTTGCTCGGAGTGGGAGGTCCAGGCTTCTTGTACGCGATGATGCCCACCTCCTTGCGCTGCGGCCGGCTCGCCGCCGCTCCCATCGCCTGCAACAACAACGTGTGGGCACTTAGCTAAAGCATCCAATCACCGACTGCAGATCAATTACGAGTTTATAACCTTTTTCAAAACTGAACGACTTAACACAACTTACAAGGCCAAATAAAGTTTGTTTAAATGTTTGACGACCGAACGGCGCAGTGGTTTGTGTAACGGACTGCTATTCTAAAGGTCGTGGGTTCGATTCCCGCTCAAGTCAAACATTTGTGTGCATGAACATTTAATGTTTGATTTGGTCTGGGTGTTTCTATGTATAATAAGTATGTATTTATAAAAAAAAAGTATATATGTATTTATATCAGTTGTTTAGTACCCATAGTACAAGCTCTGCTTAGTTTGGGACTAGATGGCGTTGTGTGAATGTGGTACAATATTATTATTATTATTATCAAGCAATCCTATATTTTTTTTGCATTCGCAAGTGTTCCTTATTTCAGTTATTATGAGGTGCAATGAGCGCTGTAATACCGTGATTCTGATAGAAATTTTGATAAATTAGTATCGCCATTATAAGATTTGCGATACGAACAATATAATTTATGTTTGAGAAGAGACAAACTCACGCACCTTTATTTCATCTTCGTCTATCGCGTGAGTAAACTGTGTCTCGGCGGGATAGGAGCTCTTGAGGTGTGGCGGGCACAGTGAATTGCGCCAGCGCAGCTCAGACAGCCGTTCAGGCGGGCCGGTCTCGCGGCCCTCTGCCCGACCCGGCCCGCCGGCCCGCCGCGGCGTGGCCAACTCCTGCAGGTAGCGGTTGTCGAACACCTCGCCCTCCTCGTCCGACACATGCAGCCCACGACCCTCTGCGTATCAGTTTCAGATTTTATTAATCTGTATTAATATTAGGTTCAAAGTAGAATTTTATTACAGTTTTAAATCTCTATGCACACAAGCCTTAGATGGCCTATAGTCCGTCGGAATACCAGGAATTTCTTTCCTAGGGTGTATCCTATGAAAGAAATTCCTGTGTACATAGTGCCCCGGCTACTGGTACCCGAGACGGCGTGCGGTTTATAGTCTGTTCGAATCCGACATAACCACTCACAGGTATGTGGTATCTGAGAGTATTTCCATTAAAGAAAAAAAAGATGGGAACTTTAATTACGGTTATAATTTTTTTTATGATTTATTTCATTCGATTGATTTATTTTATTTCGATTAGATCAATATTTATGTATATACTGCAACCCTATAGCTTTGTGTAGTTAGTTTTACATTTTTTTGTAAAGGCACTTTTTGGTAAAAACAAACTTTAGCATGCTGCACATGTAGTTAACTTATCCATGCGCATTTGTTTAAAAACTGCAAAGAAAGATTTGCCCTCACTCATTAAAAAGTACCTTCTTAGTTATCATGTAAACTGCATCTATCAAAGCCATTTCTAATCTTACCACATGTAGTCCAAATATTAGTATTTAATTTACCAACTTAGAAAAGAACATCCTTCTTGATGAATGTCACTTCAGAAAATCGAATTCTACCTTTTTAGGGTAACAGAAAATAACATTAAACGCTAGATAAACACTCTAAAGTACAATTATCGTTCAAGTATCTATATATATTTAAAATAATGTAAATGTAATAAATGTAATGTAAATAGAATTACCTCGCTTTGTGCCACCATTATTAATGGTAGGCAATGATCGCAATGATTGCGAGTCTGAAGATCGACCAGGCTCTTCTAGGGTTGGAACTAGACCAGACTGAGAAGTAATTAAAGTTTAATTAGAATAACATCAGAAATGTAACAAAATAATTTGGAATTTCCACCTAAAAACTATGTTTAAGTTGAGATTAAAATTTATTAAATTCAAACCCCTCAATTAGTAAATTACCAAAACCATACGATTTTATTACTCTTCCCGTGAGATAAGTAATTCGTAAGAACAGATATTGGACTGATTAACTTTAACTACTTAATATATCTATATAGTAAGTAGTAGCAGAATATTTTCATTACAAGTCTCTAACTTAATGGACAGTATACCACAAACTGTTTAGCCTGTGCAAGTTACTTATGTATTAAGTAAAAGGCATACCGAATGCACATGTTGAAGCGACATTAAAGAGCCGGACTGTTGCTTGCGCCGAAGGTATTTGGCTTCGTCCTTCTGCACGAGGAATTTCTCGCCGACTGACCACAGTTCGGTGGTCAGTCCGCGAATGTGGTCTTCATACGCCCGACTCGACTTCGACAGCGTGTCCCGAGCTCGTTCCAACTCACGCTCCAACATAGCGATCTCTTTTTTCTGCTTCTCTTTGAAAACAGCGATTTGTTCCGTATACAGTTGTTTCTGGAAATATGGCAGAACAAATTATGAATAAAAAGTTAGGTCGAGAGATTCGAGCATGCACAGTTATCACACATAATCTAACCATGCATATAATAAAGAATTAAATTACCTGTCGGGTCTGCTTGTATGTATACTACATGTGCTAATCTACTATAAATGTTTTAATGAACACTCGTAAGCAAAACAAAAAACTAGAAATAAAACAAAAGCATCCATTAAAACAATTTATTACTAACAATATAATAAATAAATGACTAATAGTCATAACAGTGAACAAGCACACAGGTCAATCCAAGAGCAGGTAGAACCACCACACGATCTGATAGAGCAATACCAATAACAGGATGGGTGCTATACTGACCATTTTAGCCTTCATTCTGTTGAGTTTGTCCTCGTACTCGGCGCGCACCTCCATCAGCGTGACGGCCTGGGCGTCCCTGGCGCCTTCCCCATGTGGTGCTCGCGACACTTCCTCTAAAAGCCTCTGGAACGAGTTTTCCAGCTCATCCAACTGCACCTCCAGCCCGACGTTCTGGATACTTGAAGGAGCGAAAGAAGTGCGCTCGTCCTCATTCAAGAAAGCTTGTTTTATTTTTTCTGTAGATATAGTTCTCGCGATGCACCTCTCCACCCATCTTTCTAGATTCATGGCGCACTCGGCCAGATCCTGCATCACAGCCGCATATCCCCTTTCCAATTTCAGCATACACTCTTCTGTGACGTGACCATCTAAGTTCAATATCTCTCGTCTCACAGTCCTTTGCACCGATATTACTCTACTCAACTTCTGTGCATACAAATCTTTTACAGAACTAAATGTTTGAAAACGTACAGACAACTCAGTCAAGAACTTTTTCAAATTTATAATCTCGGATTCGTTGATCCTATTGACTTCAGTCAATCTATCTTTTTCTTTCTGTAAGGTCAGTTGCCTTTCTGAACATCTCTTTAGATGCTTTTCAGTGGTTTCTAAGAAATTCTCGAGATCCTCCATGGTGATGGTCCCCGCGTTTAGACTTCGTCGAAGTTCATTATCACAAGTTGTATTAGAGTTGCCAAAATTAGTCAATTCTTTAAGAACTGTATTTGATTTTATTTCTGCGATCCTTTTGAGTATGATCGCCTGGTATTTAGCCGACACCTTAATGATTTGCGTTGCCCTGTTTTCGGTGACGCTCATCTTGGTGACTTGCTTCTTAAGTTCTGCAATCTCTTCATTTTTCTGGTGAACAATTTTCTTGAGCTGGGAGGATAGTTGTTGGCAGTTCTCCTTGCTAACTTCAAGCTCTTTAGTCACATCTAACAGCTTGTTTTCTGACTCACCCATTAGGGATTTGAGGTAAGTGATGTCACTTTGCAGGGTGGTTATGGTCCTGTTCTTATCGTAAACGATCTTTTCTAAATCAGTGATGGTCTTTAAACTCTCGATGGAGGAGTGTGTGATGTCTGAAGTGTTATCTACCTGGTGGTGAATGTCGCGAAGCTCCTTCTCTGCTAACTGTCCTGAAAACTTCCGGCTCGATGCATTTTCTTGACTGCGTACTGCAACTGTGAATAACATATTCCATATATAAAACCTGCAACAAGCCCCTATGTATACGTAAACGAAACGATTAGGTCTGCACCCCTCTTGACATCCCTCGCCTGCTTACCCGTTAAAAAGAGAGGAATCTCATTACTTCAAATAAAATTCAAATACTCTGTAATAATAGCAGCAGTTCAGGCTAAGGCATTGGATTTAAGAGGAAGTGTAAGCAACTTGTGGGTTTAACCCACTTTCAAGACATGCATTTTCATTAGCTGGAGGGTTTAAGCAGGATATTAGTGTGTTGAATGTAACTAACAACTATTACTTCCAGTCCTGTCCAGTGACTTGTAACTTTACATATATACATATCACAAATCTTCACTTCAAGATAGGCAGAGATATTTTTTAAAGACTCAAATTACATGAGGTATTGTGAGGACTATATGTTTATTAACTGTTCACCTAGCTGATTAGAGATTGCTCACAGTTAGACACATTTAAAAATATAAAACCTATATGAATTTATACATACATGTCTCTCTTTGTCCGACAGCTTTTAGGAGCAGTTCATTTTCTTTAGTAATAATTTTTAAAGCTTCCTTTTCATTATTCATATCATTTAAATCCTTTTTCAATTCGCTAATAATTGTGTTTTTCTCTTCTAGGTCATTCTGATACTTTTCTCTAAGCGCTTTTTCTTGTAGAAGCTCCTTGTTGATGTTATTTATTATAACATCTTTTTCTTTACTCATTTTGGAAATGAGTCCGTCTTTAGCCACAGATTCTGTCACACACAATTCAAAAGAAGCTTTTAAAGTTTGTAATTCTTTTTGTAATGACAGTATTTCTTTTTGTTGTCTCTCCTCTAACTCCTTTTGTTTATCATTTTTGTTCGACACAACAGTTTTCTCTATAGCTAAGTCCAACTCAAGATTCTTATAACGTTCTTGTTCAGATTGTATAGTCATTTCCAAATTTGTTATGTCTGAAACATATTGTAGAAACTAAGGAATGTATTGTTATTGATAAAAAACAACTGCCGCAATTTGTATGTTACTGAGGACAGTACAAACATTAAACAACAGATGCGAAGAATACAAAAATATGTGTGACCCAAAAATATTTGTCCCTTGTGGGACATCGAACCCACAATAATTAACGGCTGGGCGACCTCTTTAACCACTGCAACAAACGTGAAGTCCACATTTCTATTAGCATTATAATAACATTTAATGACATAAGTAAAATTGCCTTCAACATACCAGCTTTCTTCTCCTCAATGGTAGCAACCATTTTCATATTATCATTCGTCAATTTGGTCACTTCCGCTGTCAATTTCTCATTCTCGGTTCTCAATTTAATAACTTCCTCTGATTGTAGAGCATTGTCCTCTTGCAATTTAGCAATTTGCTCTTTTAAGTTGGTAATAAATTGCGTTAATTTATGTATGTCAGCTTCTAGTTCTTTGTTATTCGTTTTTATATTGTCGATTTCTTCTAATAATTCTGTTTTATCTTTAGTCAGTCGAGTAGTTTCCTTATCAGCTTTCAATTTATATGTTTCAAATAAACTTTGTATTTCGTTAACTTTATTCACATTACTATCACTCTCTTTAATTAAATCAGTTTTCTCTTGTTCTAAACCATTTATTTTAGTTTCAAGATGTTTAATTTTGTCTTCTAATTCCAATACCCTGCTAGTTTTTTCGTTAAGCTCAATATTTAAGTCCTTTTTATTATCTATTTGCTCTTGAAGGGATTCAGTTAATTTTTCAACCTTATCGCGGAACTCCACTTCAATGGCATCCTTCTTAATTTTTAACTCACTATTTTCATTTGCTAAAGACTCTGCACCTGAAAGTTTAATATTAAGTTTAGAAGCTTATAGTTCACCTATCACCAAAAACAGAACACAAACGATAGTGATTACTTACTATCTTTATAATTTTTGTTAATAACTTCTAATTGATTATTGTTTTCTTTCAATTGCATCACTTCATCTACCTTTATCTGAATTTCGCCTTGTAGAGCCGTAATGTCCTTGTGTGATGTTTCTTTCAGTAATGTTATTTCTTTTTCCAAATTATCTTTTTCAAGTCTCAGCTCTATAATCTCGTTCTGCGTAAGTGCCAAAGCTGTTTCTTTCTCCTGCAGTTTCAGTTCAAGCTCATTTCGTTCATTACTTAGAGTTATTTTTTCTTCTTCTAACATTTCTATGGCTTTATCTTTTTCTAAAATGGTGTTTTTAAATATCACTTTCTGGTCTTCCATGACAGACTCGGTGACAGCAACCATATTCTTTATAACTTGCCTTTCTGATTCAAAATCATTCATTAGTTTCTCTTGGCTCAGTTTCTCAGTTTTTATTTCCTCTTCCAAAGATTTTATTGCTGTAAATACAGATAAATGATTCTCAAATAATTAATGCTTACCCCAATTTTTTTTATGGACTTATCCAAATAAATAGTGAAAGAGTCACGTTCACAAAGGAACTACTATTTTCTGAACAGAAAGGGAACAATTACTTTTACCAAAATCTTATTTAATTTAACTTCAGGGCAATATGGCGCCCAAGCTGAGATAAATGTTCAAAGTATCCCTGTATCTATTAAGCCCCTATCCATATTATTATACCAGATTATTATATTAATTACATTCGTGTCATAAGATAACTCTTAACGTTCACAGAGAGGATTTATCTACCACCTGTTTATGTCCGCAAGTTTTGAGGATTTGATTTAATAATCTCTTAGAGTACTAGAAAATAAATACTGGGCATCGGTAAACATCGGAAATAATCGTGTTTTATTACAAAAACGTATGTTAAAAGAACTGGTCCTAATTACTGGTGCACTTGCAATTTCGACCTAATAACAAGCAGATACGTCTCACGGTCATTTCTAAGAAACGCAACTATAGTTAAACCGCCGTAAGCTTGGCCCTCCTGATGGTTTGCGGGACATGGGGCGGGTGATGCGCTCGGCTATACATGACACGATGTACTAACTCGATATCTTCAGATTCATTTGTTTGAGATTTAATCTACACACGATGTAATAAAAATCGAATTTATTTCCATGTATTATAATGGCAGTGTATTGTAAGTTTTTATGATTAATTGTAAAATTTAATACTGTAAAATAATTTTAATAAAATCACCTTATCTTCATCATGTAAATTATATTCAGATACAATTTAAAAATTAAGTAAAATAATTAATATTCTTTATTAGAACTTTAACAGTAGAACCTCTGTAAGCCACCTTCAAATTTTTTAATCTTTTTGTGACGCAGAGTCGGCAGATTATCCATGTTGCAAAATAATACCGTGTGTAGCAGTCTTAAGAAAAATAACACGTACAGCCATACTTTCACGTCAGTCACTGCCGGCGGACAGCGACGCACTAGCTAATTGGTTGAATGCACCCCCGCCCCGCGTCCCCCAAACCATCAGGAGGGCCAAGCTTACGGCGGTTTAACTATAGGTCTACCCGCGCGAGCGAAATAGCGCACGAGTCAGTTGCTAGTCGCAAGAACACGCGCGCCAACGTTGTGAGGAACCATATAAATCTGATACAGTCCCATATCGAATCGAATTTTATTTCTGAGATAAGATTTAGAAATTAAACTCACAAAACCATAAGAAATTAATTAATTATTCTCTTCAGCGAAGAGACAAGCCACAAGATTCAGCTATTTCCCGTGTATTCAGTGAAGACCTTAGATTCTGAATGGGAACTCTGATCTGAATTTCAAGGTCCTTTTAAGGTCACGGTCATATTTATTAAATGGATCCTGATTTTATTTAAAAAATAAAAGAATCAATAAGACGTAACCGTAAAACCAATATTGTCACCTCTAAACGTGCGAGTTTGACCTTGGATTGGCGACCTTTAGAGGTCAGAACTGAAGGACATTTCCGATTGTAATTTTTTCCTCGCTTGAAAAGCGGGGAAAAAATCCGGGCTCAAAAATATGCAATCCCATTTGAAAATTGTCCTTAACTGAGATAACCATTAAGGTTGTGATCAAGGTCACCAATGGATAGCCAAAGATAATTCCTGTAACTTTTTGTTTAACGTATTTTCAAAAAATGTATCCCTAGCAAATTATTCTGCTGTTCCGGTACTTTTCTAACACCCGGTACAATATAAAGTATTGTTTATTCTACTGTACATAGAATATAATAACCATCATATTGGGATTAAACATGACCTTATAATTTGCCTTTTTGAAGTCGGTTCAATAGTCTCTCTTTTTCAGAACGCATAATTTCAAAAAAAGAAAACCACAGAAGTCACAGGAAAATTGTGTGTATACAATTTATACCTTTACATGATGCGGATGTATTCAAAAAGACTGAGGCTACTGGACTATCGCGAAATACTATAAGTAAGATAGTGAATGAAGTATATGGAAATAGTTCGCCTGCTTTCTCTACACCAAAGTAAACAAAAATAAGATTTTTATTTAAAGCTCGGTGATTTTGATTACAGTGTCATTCGAAATATGGTATATGATTTTTATTTAAGATTTAAGGAACTTCCGACCCTAAAATCTTTGAAAATCAGGTTGGTTGAGGCTATATAATTTAAAGGAGACTATCACAAAGAAATAAATGTGGATCGTTACCAAAATTGGCTACGTCAACAATTGATTCCAAACATACCTCCCAACAGTGTTTTATTAACACAGGATGCACCTTACCAGAACAAATTGTCAATCAAAACTCCAAATTAAAATACGACAAAACCGCAAATAATAGCATGATTACAGAAACATAATATATCCCATGACCCAAGTTCATTGTAGCCTGCTTTATGTTATATAGTAAAACACAAAGAAAAACTTTCAGAATTTGCAATCGATCGTATTATGCAAGAGCACGCACACTCAATCGTACGTTTGCCACCTAATCATCTGGATTTTAATCCCATTGAAAACATTTGGTCAGAAATTAAAGGAGACGCTGCAAAAAAACGTTACGATGTCGGACGTTAGCACAATTAAGGAACTCATTTAAGATACAATTACTATGATTGGACCGGAAGACGAAGTGTGCAACCATGCCATAAAATGTGAAGAGGTTACAGAAATAATATTCTCACTGACAATTTTGTTATAAACGTTGGTTCCGCTAGTGAGGAAAGTGATCGTTTTGACTCAGCGACGTAAGGAATAGTCATGCGTTCCGATTCTGAGTGATCTATATTTTAAGATACCGGCTATACGATATTAATATTACATAATCAAAAATAATATTAGCCAGTATATTGGTTCGTACTAATAAAAAATTAACGATTATCGTTAAACGACATTACTATATTATACAATACACATACAAAATCTACAGAACTCAATTAGTCAAATTGAGAGAAAGAGGCTAAAATTCTAACATATTGTAACCTTTTTGTTATAAGAGCTCTATAAATATACCGCCTCGGCCTGATCGGTCGTATTCGGTAATACGATGTTTACCAAAGCCCAATATTAATTTGGTAGTACTTTAAAGATTGATCTAAAAAGCAAATTGTGTTATGTAGAAGTGAAAAGCATGTTACCTTTATTATTTATTTCTAAAACTTGCTGTAATCGGTCTTTTTCTTTCCTGACAACTTCTAATTCATTCGATTTGTCTTTCAAATAGTTGGTCAACTTAGTAATCATAATGTTCAAATTATCTATCTGACATTCATAAGTTCTCTTTAATTTATCTGTCAAATTCTCGTTGTCAACAAGTTTCTCTTTTAGGGAGTGAACTTTGACTTCTAACTGTATCTTTACATCATTCAAATCGTTTGTTAGAGATGCGTTATCTTGCTGAATTATTTGCAGTTCTCTTGTCTTCTTGTCTAATTCTGTAGCATGCATGTCGTTTTGCTTTGAGAATTCTAAAAAATGATATTAGTAAATTGTTTATAACAGAAAAAAATTAGTAAGTCAACCTATAATAGGTTTACAACATGGATACCAGATTTCATAATAAGGTCTTTTCAACCCTTCTTTGTTACATGTAAAAACCGAAACGTAAAGTCCAGATTAAATAAAGATCACGCTTAAAAGGAACATATTTTAAAGAAAAATGTTAAGTTTGCTTACCTATTTTATTTTCACTGATAACTTGTTGCAGTTGTTTAGTCTCAGTCTGTAGTTCCGAAATTTGCATTTCTTTTTGTTGCAACACTTTTCTTAATTCTAATAACGCTGCGTCTTCATGCTCTAGAGCTTTTTCCAAATTCTTTCTCATAATAGCTTCAACAGTCACCATGTTAGCAATATTTATAAGCATATCACATTTGTCAACTGTCGAAGTATCGTTCTTGTCACTGTTAATTAGCTGTTGAATGGTTTCATTTGTTATTCCCTCCTTCTGGAATTCTTGTAACAGTTTAGTTACGCCAGAACTGAGAATATTAGATATTTCTTTATCTTGTTCCTCTCGTGCTGTAATTAACATAAGAAAGCTGAATGTTTAAGAGGGTTTTTTTTTCAAAATCATTTACTTGCGTCAAATAGTTATATAATATTTAATGATTCTAATAAGGGTGGCCTTTGTTAGTGGCGAGCAGGGACTCGCACTCTCGTACTACATCCCAAGTAAAAAAAATATGTTTATTTGAATTACATTATGAAACTCATGTCACGCCAATTGCGCCTGGTATTTCCACGTAAGAGAGCACGAAGTATCATGATATTTACGATTAACATTCGGAGCATTTCCCTGTTTCTTTCCCCCTGTCATTTTGATAGGCTTTTATGTTCGAGCAGAAGTGTGCCTTGCGTTTCATTTTTTGTCTCAAATTCATTAAAGCTAATTCCACAAAGACAAGGGCCTCACAATGATCTACCTGCCCGGAGCCTCGCAATTTCAATGTCCGTGGGAGGTCGCTTACCAGTTATTGAGGTCATCTGCTCGCTTGTCCATGATACTGTAGAGACAAAAAAAAGCAATTTACTGAGATACAAAAACGCTTTTAACTTACCATTTTTTTCTTTAATAATGGTGTTAGCTAATTCATTATGTTCCTTTTCAAATTTCTTAATTTGTCCTGCTAATTCTGCGTTAAGTTTGTCTAAATTGTCCATATCCTCTTTTGATTTCATATTGTCTTGATTCAATTTTACAGTATCTTCTTCTAGCAGAGTATTAGCATCTTTTAATTTATTAACATCCTCTTGTAAGGCTGAATTAGATGTTTTAATTACAAGAATATTCTGATTCAATTCTTTTATATCTGTGTTCAATTTTGCAATAGTATGTTCAAATTCTGCTTTTTCTTTTTTAAGTATATCAATGTGCTGTTCTAATTTCATTTTATCTTCACTTATTTTGGAAATTATTTCTTCTACTTTCATATTATCATCTTGTAAAGTTTTTATTAACTCTGAATTTCTAAAGGATTTCTCCTCTAACTCATTAATTGTGGCCAGTAAATAATTCTTATCATCCATCAATTTACTTTTTTCTTCTTTCAAAGTGTTCAATTCTGCTTCAAGATTTTGCACTTTATTTTCCATATCTGTTACAGTTTCTGACTTTTTATTAATTTGGATATGCAAGTCTTTATTGTTTTCTCTCTCCTTTTGTAGTAATTCAGTAAGTGTATGTACCTTGGTTTGATGTTCTATTTCCAAAGCGTCAATTTCAATCTTTAACTCTGTATTTTGATTTTCTAAAGACGTAAAGACATCTGTAAAAGTAGATGAATCTAAAATTTAAATATATATTAAAAATACAATTTCTTACGACGAAAAGGAAGGTTAAATGAGATAGGTCTCAAAAAATATAGACTACATATAGCCATTTTACATGATTTTAACTGAAATCAGAAGGTTGAAATCGAAAGCAATCTACAAGGAAAATTTCTTAGGTCTGCAATAATACTATCGTAGTTCTACTTACTTTCTTCATAATTTCGTATTACATTTTCCAATGCATTCTTTTCTAAAAGCACTTTCTTAATTTCTTCCTCTTTAATATTAATATCACCTAAAAGCAACGTCACTTTTTCTTCTATAAGTGACTGCATAGCTTTGTGTTCCTCATTTGCTTTGATGATTTCATTTTCTTTCTTTATGAAATCACTTTTCAGTGACATCACTTCCTTATCTGTTGTTGCCTTTTCTTTTTCTATAAATTGTTTCTGGATTTTCAATTCTACCAACTCCTTTTGTATCGTCTCTAAAGACAATTGTTTTTCTCGAATTTCGAGTTCCAAATTTGTTTTTTCGTTTAGTCTTTGCTCTTTTATGCCTCTAATCTCGTCTTGTAATACTATATTTTTGTTCGTCAATTCGGTAATAGTATTATTTAAAGATATTTTGTGGTCTTCCATTACAGACTCGGTGACAGTCAGCATATTTTTTAAAACTAGCTTTTCTGATTCAAAATCATTCGTAACTGTTTCCAGATCTTGTACTTTAGCCTTCAGCTGTTCTTCTAAAGCTTTTATAGCTATAAAAAGTAAAAATCATAATTACTAAAAAGACTGTAAACTTAAACAGCGGGAGAGAACCATATATAAGGCAACAATGTCTTACATACATTATATATTTCTCCATGTACAAAAAGTATTTCGTATACGAGGCATAGTGGCGAATTTATTGAAAGCAAAACGTATAGGTTATATGTATGTAACTGGTTGGACCGTGGATTACAGGGAATGAATCAGGTCGTTGTTTCAGTTAACCGTGGACGACGTTTTATTATAAAGTTTCTAGCGTAAGCTGTTACAAAAAAAAACTAAGAAAAACAAAAATGTTTTTCATGTCTTATTTGACTGACACATTATATAAACATATTATTTAATAAAGTATAAGTATGCATTACCTACAGTGATTGTTCCTTAACACAAGGAAAGTATCTTTAATCAGTTTTTACGATACAGACAGCAGTTTTTTTTACATTTGTCATATAGGAGTTGCAATATTATAAAAATTTAAGCCAGTTTCTCTTTGATGAACTTTAGAAATTTGACTGCACTAATGGCGTAGTGGTTTAAGCGGTCACCACGCCGCTTCCTACTACGCCGAGTGTTGTGCGTTCAAACCCCACATGGGACGACACTTTGTGTGATCCACAAGTTGTTTTTTTGAGTCTGGGTGTTCTTTGTGTCTGTTTCATGTATGTTTATAAAGTTCCCCGCAACACAGGATACATTCCTAATGCGGAAGTTTTAGTTGAAGTTTTTTATTTCAGAGTTCTTATTATAAACAAGTTATATTTTTTCAGTTCCATTATTTTTTTATTTACTCTGCATCTTTATAGGTAGGTTGTTCAACAAAAAAATAAATAATAATACTGTGTGGTCAATTCACACACCTGTTCAAACTATTTCAAATCATATTACACGATTATAAATATTCATTTTTTAAGAAATCCCCAAATTCAGGTTTTTCTCTTAGTTAATTTAAGTGGCCAGAGGCCGTTCTGATTAAGAATAAATAAATAAAAATAAAACAATTTCAAACAGAGCAAAGACATTACCTTTCTTATTTTCTTCAATGCATTGTTGCAACTGATCCCTGTCTCGCACAGTGATCTGAATTTCATAAGTTTTTGCTTTCAGATGTTCAGTAAGTTTTGTGACCATAATATTTAAGTTCTCAATTTGACATTCATAATTTTTCTTCAATTCATCCATTTGATTTTCACTATCCACAAGCTTCTCTTTTAAAGAGTGAACCTTTAGTTCCATTTGTATTTTCACTGTGTTTAACTCATTCGTTAGACTCTGATTGCCTTGTTGCAGCAATTGTATTTCTTTAAATTTTTCATCTAATGTATTTGTGAATGTCTCATTTTGTTTAGATAATTCTGAAAACGTTTGATAAGAATAATCAGATGTATCAATTTTTATTTACAATGTTTTTGTAAATAAAAATGGATACACCTAATTATTGTACAGTCTACACGGCTACACGTCCGGAGTCTACATGTCTATGGGGCTGTAAGTTTCTGGAATAGTGATCACATATCAAAAAGCGCATTGTAAGAACTCCAGCAAAAAGGTACACAAATGACCGTTATAAAGACCCACAGGTCGATAGCGTATACAGGCTGCTTCCAACCACTCTTCTTGCAAGTCATTGGGGAGGCCTATGTCTGGCGGTGGACATGTTATTGCCAAAATAATGATGACATTGATGATGGCGGTAACAATGATGACGATGATGATCTAGGAAAGTTGCGGCTTTTTTTGTAATATAGGACGAGGCAATCGACCGTGTGGTGACGGATTAAGAATACAGAGTGCCACCACCCCTATTCATGCCGTGGGCGTAGTAAGAGGCGACTGAGGGAGCAAACTACGTAAGACAACAGCACTGCAGAGAGAAGGAAAACTTGACACAAATCCTATACCAAACCTGTCTGGCCAGCGTGGTATAGGAGGCCAAAACCTCCTTCCTAAGGAGAGGCCTATGTCCAGCAGTGGACTATTAAAGACTGTTGATGATGATGGACGAGCAAACAGGTCACCTGATGGTAAGTGGCTACCGCCGTCCATGGGCATCTGCAACTAGAAGAGTCACAAGTGCGTTACCGCCCTTTGTGTAAATAACGTTAGGGGTGGTAGGGGTTGTAACTCCAATAAACTAACTAATTCCGTGAAAAGCAACGACAGAATTACTCAACACTGGTTTTCTGGAACGTCGTGGCTTCATTCCGGTCGAGTCGGCCCATAAATGCCAAAAGCATGGCTCCCCCTTTTGATTTAGATGACTTACCATTGTTAATGTCACTAATAGTTTCTTGCAATTGTTTATTATTATTCTGCAGTTCAAGTATTTCCTGTTCTCTCTGTTTAACTGTTGCCTTCTGAGACTTCAATGCTGTATTACTATGGTGTAGCTCTTTCTTTTTCATAATAACTGTTGTATAAAGTTTTTTCGCAATACTTAAAATCAGATCGCATTTGTCGGCAGAAGAAACTTGATTGTTATCAAAATTAATTACATTTTGTAAAATTTTCTTAATGCCATTATCTTTTTTAAAGTCTTCTATGAGCTTATCTAGACCAGCATTCAGTATAACAGTCATCTGCTTGAAGAGTTCTCTTAAATCTACAACAATGTTGTTTTATTTATTTGACGAGATAAGTAGGCAAAACTATAGTGTAGTGGCAACTTCAATCTAAAATAACAATATTACAAATATGTCTAAAATTCTCTTACCTTCAAATTTGATTTGTAATCTCTTCATGTCTTGAGTTATATTTTCAAGCTGCACTTGTTTACTGTTTATTTCAGATACATGATGTTCATTAAATTCCTTCAACTTTAAACATAACCCCTCCTTTTCATTCTCAATTGTATCACGTGCAGACTTCTCTACCTGTAGAGATTCAACAAGAGTCTCTTTCTCAGCCATTAGAAACTGTTTATCATTTAGAAGCAATTCTTGGACAGATTTCAGCTCAAGCATTCCTTGTTTTAATGAGTTATTTTCAACTGCTAATGATTCTTTATCATTCAACAACACTGTCATTGCCAAATTGCCTTCTAATAATTTTTCCTTGTATTTTTTCTCTAAATCAGCAGATTCTTCGATGATTATGTCAATTTTTTCAGTCAATTCTCGATTAACATCTTCAAGATCTGCAAATTCTTGTTTTAATGAACCTAAATGCTCACTCAGTTTTCGGATTCGTTCTTCTTTAACTTCTATAATTTCTCTAGTTTTCAATTTGTGCTTCTCCCAAGATAATGTAACTTCTTCATGGTCTTTTTGAAGCGATTCCAGCAGAGTATTTTTTGCTTTAAGTTGTTGTTCCAGATTGTCAATAATACAATCTTTTTCTTTAACTATAACTTCGTGGTTGCTGTTGTCCTCTTCTATGGCAAAATGTAACTGTTCATTTTCCTTCTGCAGACGTAAACAAGTACTGTGTTAATATATTTAATATATCTGTGCTATACAGGATGCTAGGGAAACGCTTCCTAAAACGAAGACAGACGATAGTACTAAGATACTTTTGATGATCAGAAAAAAAAACGATCCCAACGAAAAAAAACTCTTTTTGCGACGTTTTATTCACACTCTGACTAACGTGTCAGAGTGAGAATAAACACAACTAAATGAAACGATAATTTCATAAAAATATATAACTTTACTAAAAAAGGCAACGCAAAACGAAATCAACTCAAATTAAACCAAACAGCTAATCGGAAAGCTGCTAGAGCGAGAATACTGCAAATAAAACGTTGGAAATAGACGTTATTTTTCATTGGGGACGATTTCATTATTTTTTTGACGATTTAATTCGTTTTTTCGGGAGGCTTTCCTACGTTATTTTTCATTGGGGACGATTTAATTACTTTTTTTAACGATTTAATTCGTTTTTTGGGGAGGCTTTCCTACGTTATTTTTCATTGGGGACGATTTAATTATTTTTTTGACGATTTAATTCGTTTTTTCGGGAGGCTTTCCTAGTCTTAAACTATCTCAAAGTTTACAATAAAATTGTATATGAAGAAAAGTATTTTAAGCTGAAAAACATCGTCCTTGCTACATACAGAAAGGATGATTAACATGATGTGCACTTTTGACGTTACCTGCAAAGTTTGAATCTGCTGTTTCAGCGCATCGACCTTGGCTCTTTCTTCGCTTAACTGTACTTCGATGACGTTAGCACAAGCTTCGCTACAGAGGGCTGTAAAATTAATTGCGTATGATACAAAACTACAATATCGTATAAAGTGGTAGCAGCGGCGACCCTGCGTTTTTAAAGGATAGAGCGAAATACTAATAGTGAAAATTAAGAACCCAATTTATAAGACTCCACCAATTTTATTGAAAAACATTATACAGAGGGAATCATGTATGTCGTGGTCTCATGGTAGAATTGATTCCGAGCTCCGGTAACCACTTATTTAGTAAATAACGAACGAATTTTCTGTGAGGCCTTAGTATCATTCCGATCGAGCCGCCGCGTTTGTGCCGAAACATGGCTCTATAGCGACATCTTACATCCCTACACAATTCGCTTTTTTGGAGTCTCGCTTTTTTGAAGTCTCGTTTTTTTAGTCTCGCTTTTTTTCGAGTCAGTAGTAATAATCTCAATCAACTTACACAAATTACGTCCCAAAGACTGTATGCTAGCATCAGGGTCGTCACACTCTAACAGACTAGAGTCCAGCTTATTGAGCTGGTTGTGTTGGCGCAGTTCAATTACAAGCTCTTTTAACGACAACAGCTGTTCTCGTTCAGTCTCCAACTCTTCTGACAGCTGCACAGCGCGGGCACTCTCTTGTTGACTGAGGTTTAACCATTTGTCGCGATCTTGTTTTAACCCTTCAATCTAATTAATGGAAGTAAATAAAAATAATTTAATTATGTGAAGATATAGTTAATATCACTAACATTAATAAGCATACTTGAGAATAATTATGAATTATACTATTCAAATATTACTGTTGTACAATCTCATGGTTTTACTGTTTCGCAATCATTACGATTAAATGCCTCCATAAGGTAAAATAAGAACAGCTGCCTGTAAGTGGAAGCGATACAGGGAGATGGATACCCGATAGTTTCCTTTGTCTCTGTTTAGCTAAGCTACGATTGGCTACTTATTATCTCCTCATATTCCCCAGTCAACCACAGAGCACGACTAGAAAGAGATAGAGGCATCTATCTATTAGACATGATGAAAGGATATGACTGGGTAACCTCTTCAGGTAAGTTAAGCTTATTCCGATATTCAGAAACTGGTCGAATTTGCGCAATTCAATAATAATAATAATAATGATGAAATGCTCCTTCAGTCGTTTTTTATGACTGCCGAGTGTTTGCGCTCGTCCGATGGGCCGTGGCAATGCATTCCCCAAAAGTATGGCTTGCACAGTTAATGACTTGTTCATAACCTACAAGTATCTAGGTATATCACTGTCGTTGGGAATACCAGTATCTGACATGTAAAAAACGTTTCAGGAACGTTTAGTTGGCCGCCTGAAAAAAGTACTTAAGTCTTTTATCAGGGGGCAACAAGGTGGCCTGCAGTTGTTGGGTCACGTCGATTTTAATGTATTCCTTTGGTATACCTAAGACTCAGACCGAGTTATATGCCCTTGACAGGGGAGTCTGTACACTGCTGACTGCATTCCAAATGCACCACCCACGTTCATATAAAGTTTGGGGGTCACGGACTCTTAAATATCAAGACCCTAAACAATCATGAGATATACAATCTTAGAGAATATTTTTTACATACTGATGTGGGAGTGCATCGCAATGTAGTTGCAGAGGATACCGGATTTATTCCGCTTGCTCTGGCTAAAAAAAAATGGGGCAAACCAGTAGTACTTAGTACTAACGATCGCAGAGAAGTATAGAAGGGCATAGAGCTCCATGGTCGTTTTTATCGGCCACAAAACGGTCCGATATAGACTTAAAAGCATCTACGACTTGGCTACGGTATGGTGATCTCTTTGGACAAACTGAAGGTTTTGATTGTGCGATTATGGACGAAGTTTTCATGACGAATAACTATCGAAAATATATCTTGAAAGATGGTAAGGTTGACATCTGTCGGGCATGCCACCGTCCTGGGAAATCAATCAGGCATATTATTTCTAGTTATTCTCATCTCGCTAAGCGTGAATATTTGCACAGACACAACCAAGCAGCCAGGATCGTATAGAAACCTTGCCCTTACACACCAACTTGTGAATCTAGAGGTGCCATACTACAGGACCCAATTCTCGAGAATGGTCGGGCCACGTTGTATTGGGACCGATCTATTATCACAGACAGGACTATTATTGCCAATAAGCCTGACAGACAGAATCTCATGAAATATTTGGCTTTCTCTCACGAGATTTTTGATATGTGGAATGTGGATTCGGCGATCATTGTTCCGATAGTCGCATCTGCTCACGGAGTGATAGCCAAGAGCCTCTACCACACACCTTAAGAGACAGAACAGATCAAGGGTCTGATGTTGAAGGCAGTCCTCCTTGACACGGCCCGTATAGTGAGGAGGTTCTTGTCTTTGGAGTCCTAACCACCGGTGTCTTGGTCCCTGTACCCGATGTCGGTGATCTACTATTTTTTAGATTTTTTAATGCATTTTAATTCCTTTGTAATATTTTTAAGAATGTAATCAATATGTTTCTATAATGTAATAAAGAGAATAATAATGTTTTTTTTTAATGTTTAAAATATGTGTAAATAATAAATAACGAAAATAATAATAATATTTCGGACATCTGACACACCTAGTTTCAAACTAATCCGAGCTTGTACTATGAAAGCTAGATCGACTGATAGAATCCTTATACTTTTTTTTGTAAGTACATACATATTATACATAGAAAACACAAAACTCCGAAACAAATGGTAGCAGATTATACAAACATTTGGTCCGATTCGGGAATCAAACCCGAGACCTCAGCACTTTACCCTGTAACTTTGCTCTGTTCGAAAACGAACACATTCCCAAAGGGGTACGCGTCAGGCATGCGAGTGGCCACTAAAGAAACATGCACAATGTTACACATTGCCTTAACCCCTAATAGAATTGGGAGAAGGGCAGGCAGATGATAGGATCAAAGCTTTCACCTTCGCTTTAAGATTATCTTTCTCATAAACAGCTTCCTCTAACTGTTCCTGGGTCTTTATGAGACGCTCCTCCATATCTTGTAACTGACGCGCTAACTTCGAAGATTGCTTCTCACTACTCTCCATTTGTCGTGCATCATGGTCTCCTCGGCAACAAAGAGATATCTTCGTCTTTAGGTCCATTATCTCCAACTTGTATTCTTCTTTATCTTTAGCTGTAAATGTTGGTATGATGAACATATTTCTAGCGTAATGGCTTACATTTTTTTTATCTGATTAATAATACCATTAAGTATAGAGTTATCAGTTTTTTCATTAAAAATAATGAGGTTTATTAAAAAATAACTCAGTTTTTCAATAGTCGTTAGTTAGTATATTTTGAGCAAAAATTTTCTTACATAATTTCTCCAGCCTCAAATTAGTCCTAGCAAGTTCCTCCTGCAAAAAGTTCCGATCAAAACGCTCTGCATCAAGAGCTGCCTGGAGGCGCCGCACCTCACCATGTAACGATCTCAAAGCTGGGGGAGTCTCTGCCACAGCTAACCTGAGATGGCCTGCGTCTATGTTGGCGACATCATTGCCACACGCCTCTGCAAAAAAAAGCCAATTAGTATTAATTAGTTGAAAGTACTCGTACATTGAAAATGGCATAAAATGGGAATGATGAGGATGCGGCAAAGTTAATTGATGAACTGACAAAATGTTATTATTTTGCACTTTTCACCTAACCATATCAAGTTAAACTCTCGATGCAAATCATTGAGTTTCGATGACTGACTAATCATCAGATTGAAATGAACACATGAAAAAAAAATAAGAAATATATTCGCAGTGAACCTTATCATAAATAGCTTTCTCTATTTCGAACGTATGTTTCGATGCTTGCAATATTTGTAACATGCGATACGTCCTAGATTATAGTCTTAAACTTCGGCACCAAAATTATTTTGAGCGCTATAAATCATTGTGTGCACGGACGGCTTAGTATGTTAATAATGTTAACAAGTGCCAATCTACATCCTTCTATGTATACCCTGTAACCTACTTAAACCTACGCTCAAAGTTTCGACACCCGCATCTTAGAACAAACCACGCGTCCCCCATGACCCTGGCTGTCATTGCCTACCACCCAGACTAAATCCTCACTTTTTTATTTTAATATGCATGCTGTAATAAATGATTTATTATATTTATTACTAGCTGGTACCCTCGACTTCGTTCGCAGTGAATTTAAAAAGCGCTGCCTTAGTAGGTTCGATTCCCGGACTGGGCAAAATTTTAAAGGGTTATCCTGAGAGGAAAATGGTTTAAGTTACTCCTTATTTAGACAGCTACCTGCTAGTAAAATATTATCAACATCGCGCCAGCCGTTTAGAAGACTACCCGGAAGAAACAGACAGACAGATAGATAGACAGAGACAGACAAAAGGACAGACTAAAAAAAAATTTAGGCATATGTATAGTGCAAATAAGCGTGTGAGCATAAAAAAACCTATTATTACATGTTTTTTTTTAATTTAAAATGACAACTCCCGCATTAGGAAAATATCCTGTGTAACAGGGGACTTTACACACATAAATGAAACGGACACAAAGAAAACCCAGACTCAGAACAACAATTTGTGGATCACACTAAGTGTCATCCCATTTGGGGTTTGAACACACTACACTCGGCGTAGTAGGAAGCGGCGTGGCGACAGCTTAAACCACTTCGCCATCCGTGCAGTGATTATTTTGACATTATAAACAGACACTTCAATTTTATTTATTTGTATAGATATAGATAAAGGTCATGTGTATATTCCAATGGATATTTTATTGTTCCACATCAATGATACATTAATTATCTGTCAGTTGTATTCATAGCAATGCTTACAGCAGTGCAAGGGGTACTTACTATAATAATTACTAGTCAACATAATGTCTAAACTCCTCTGTAAGGAGAGGCTTATGTCCAGTAGTGGGCTACTAAAGGCTGTAGATGATGCTGAGATAATGTCTAAGGTGAGAAAGCTCATTTGCTATAGTTCTATAACTTAAAAAAATGACTTCAATGTGCCTACATAGCATGTTGAATTGTAATAAACTGTTTTCTACATTCCTTAATTTTCAATCAAACAAACCATAGAGAAAATATACTGTTTCAAAAGAAAAAGAATCCAAATTGGTTAAAAAATGATAAGGTTCTGAGGTAACAAACATAAAAGAAATAGTCAAACTCAGAAACTACTCCTTTTTAAAAGTTAGGTAAAAGAAGTATTTGTGGTTTTGAATCTTAATTTTGAACTCAGAACCTCCTCCTTTTTAAAGTTTAAAAAAAAGGTATTTTTGATTTTGAATCTAGTGATGTGCAGATCTATATATTTTTAAATGTGTCACAGGCTATCCAATTGAGAAAAACTTAATATCTATTACTCATTATTATTAATTTTATTTTTATTTACTATTTTTATTATGTTATAAAAAAAAAAATTTGAAGTATAGAATTATTAGATTAGAATACATTCCAACTAATGTTGCTAATTATTTAAGTTGGTAACTAAATATTTATTATAGTGTAGTACCAATGCAATATGTTTAAAGTAATGATTAAATTTCGTTCATCAGAAATATTATCTTTGCAGCATGTTTATTAACATGAATTTAAAATATACAAGAAATTTAAGTCAAAACATTTATATGTTATTAATCATCACTATCAAATAATTATTTCAAGATCACCAATCACCACTAAGTTACATACCTATGTATATTTCAGATTTATATTCTAGTAACCAATTTGCATGTCAAATTCATATCATATACTAAACCTCCTTTCTAAGGAGAGGCATATGTCCAGCAGAGGACTATTAAAGGTTGTTGATAATGATGATAATATATATCCATATCTGCAGATTGTATTTTTAACAATCTGCCCCATAACTATATTAGTCTTAAATAGTGTCCGGTACTGTCGACAAAATTGCAACTAATAAAAACCTAATATGATTAATTGACTTAGGAATATACACAATATTTCACATAAAAACAATATAAACCACTTATTTAATGTTAAGTATTACACACTCATACTCAAACTCAGTAGTACACATTCACAGTAAACTGTAAATTAATATTTTATGTATTGATTTTAAGTTAATAAATACAAAATAAAATTACCTGTAATAGCTGTCTGAATATCTTCACATGCAATAAAAGAGCACTCCATTAAGAGTTTACTGAATTTCATAATAATTTCCTGGTCATCCACACTCAGCTTGCTACACATAGCACTCTTTATATCCATATTTTTTGAGTTAACGCACACAAAGAAAAGGAGCAACGACGCCACTAAGTAGATATCGTCTTCATTACTCGCCTTTACAGTTCCATTGTTAAATTTAAAAGCAGGATACTTCTCCAAAATAAACTCCTCAACTGTTCGTGCTTCTAACACAGACGATTTTGATTCGTCTAAATTCAAATTTTCACGTAAATGTGATATTATGGTGAGAAGAGAATCTATGTTGACCTGCCGTACGTCTTGGTTGGATTCATCAAAATAACAGTTTATCTACAATACAAATATTTTATTAGCGCGCAAAACTAATAAGCAATTATACCACAATAATATCAGCTGCTTACCCAGTTGTTGATTATAAACTTCCATTTAGGCAACATGGTTTTCAAAATTATTTTCACCTCTATCTTACTTTCAAAGCAGTCAAATATTTTATTACATGTGAATACTGATTCTAACGAAAATATTAATAAACAAACAATTTCATAACAGTCGTTTCAATGAAATGTTGTTAGTTGCCGTTACGGTTTGAATTCCGTGTTTTTTTTTTCATTCTACACTTTTGAACCATATGTCACGTTTGACAATGAAGATTAAAGAGGTTTTCGTACATACTCTATGGTTGGGTTACACACTTTTTGAAAATAATAACGAAGAATCTGACTCAGCCGTTTGAGTTCGAACTAGTTAGAAACTGTCCTATGCTATGGAAAACAGATTTCTGATCTTTTTATAAAAATATTTATACATATCATATTTCTAAATCAACTGTAAACAGCTGCCGGCGCTCGATTTTATCAATCAATTTTAAAATTTTAAGGGGATAGAAAAAAAACATTCATAAAGATAATATAGCTAGACGAAAACCACACATTCTGCATGTAGATTATATTATTGTGTGGACTAAAAACCATAGGGATATAAAATGGACCTATCTTCACCTACTCATCATATCATGTGCTCTTCAGTGATGCCAGGTGCGAGAGATAAAACGGCCGAGGCCTCCTCTTGCTGTCTCTCTCGCATCACTGTAGAGTTCAGGGCTAGGTGGAGATAGCTTTTACTTGCTCTTATATTAACAAATAACTGGAAGGAAATGGAATCCGTGGACCTTGATCGGAAAACTAAGCACTGCAAAGAGGAGGAAAACTTGAAACAAACATTATACTAACCGGTATGGCCAGCGTGGTCAAGTAGGCCAAAGCCTTCTTTCTAATGAAAGGCTTATGTCCAGAAGTGGACTATTAAGTCGAGGCTGTTGATGTGATGTGATGCAAAAACTGATAACAACAAAACTGATGCTTCCGAAGAATTATTTCTTCCAAACTTCGAAATCACAAAATCTTTTTTCTTTCTTTTTTCTTCTTTTATGTCTGTTTGCCCAGTACTTGTTTTTTATTTTTAATAAAAATGCTTATCCTTGCGGTGGAATCAAAAGAATAACGTGGTCACATTGCTCAGCGTACATACTTTGCTACTTGGTACTTCCTATGGTACTAAGCCTCATACTACTATTTGACATAATTGACACATATATATTATAACATAATATGTTATGCATATTATTATGCCATGAGTGAGAGACGACTGAGGCGAGAGCCATTAATCAAAAGTTGAAGTTGACATAAGTGAGTACCTACTGTGTAGGTTAATTTTTGAAATTGAAAAAAAATAAAATATAAATTACCATTATCAAATACAGTATACAAGCATATATGTCTGTGGAAGAGAAGGTGACAGTGGGTTACTGTTTTTTACTAAGAAAACACAAAAAAAAAACAGGCTATAGCTCATACCGTAACGTAAGGTTTATCACTATTGTCCATAATTAAATTATAAGAAAAGTATTTAACTTTTGAAGCCAAAACCATTTAGTGGCGAATAAATTCACACTATAAATCAATGCGTAAAATCATTAATTTATAACATACGGAATTTAATACTAAAGTTGGGAAAAGATAAACTGTGATTCAGAGTTTGATCAGTTTAATAAAGTTTAAAAATAACCATAAGAGAATAATCTAAATAGTCCTACCGTTTTATGGTCTGGTTAATTCTATTTTTTTCACATCTAAGTTTTTTTGTAAAGTATTAACTGTATTAGTCAGTGAAATAAATTGTAGGTTTTCCACAGTTTAAAACGTCAATCATGAATCAAACTCGTGCTGCAGGGCTTGTTATCTATCGGTATATAAATCAAACTGTACAGTTTTTAATGTTACAAACTTCTTATGGACAACACCACTGGACTCCGCCAAAAGGTAACTAAGATTTTAATAGTTAAGTTTTTTAATTTTCATAATTATGCAAATTATAATATTATATGATCATGAAATTTCTCAGGCCATGTTGATCCTGGAGAGTCAGATTGGATAACAGCTTTGAGAGAAACAAGTGAAGAGGCTGGGTTATCTGAAGAACATTTAGAAGTAGGTTCTAATTTAAAACAATTTAAGTTGTCAAATTAAAGTAAGGAAAGAATTTATAGAATAATAATTAATATTACAAATTTGTTTCTTTCAGGTTTATAAAAATATTTCCAAAGAGTTACATTATGAAGTAAATGGGAAACCAAAGGTGGTTGTTTATTGGCTTGCAAAGTTGATAAACCCAGATATGAATGTAAGATTATCTGATGAACATCAAGACTTTAAATGGCTTGCTTTGGAAGAGGCACAGACAATCTCTGGATTTGATGATATGACTAAGCTTTTAGCAGATTTTTATGAGAAAGCTATGGCCATGTCACATTAGGTGTAAGAATTTTTAAAAGTATATAGAAGGTGTAATAAGGTTGATGTTTCAATATAGATTTTAAGTTCATTGAATTATTTGCTTATATTAATGAATATATATCAACAGCCTTGGGCACAATTACCTTGTTTATATAATAGAAGGTTAACAATTGATCAATAGAGAAATGTAACTGCCACACATATAAAAAACATAACAGAATATCCATATTGCTCTATGCAAACTCAATGAAGTGTGTAGTCTTAGGAACTCATGGCACCATGAGGAACCAACATCCCTAAAGACCATGCCTTAAAAAGGAATAAGTACTTCGACAACCAACAAAAAAGCAAACTCATCATGGGGACACAGCTTTGCAATAAATCGCTTACAATCGCTGGTAGCCTATCACACTTTAAACAATTTTGTTGTTACTATATGGAACAAGCGTTCATAAAATGTAGTGACTGCAAAATCAGTGAACAGTTTTAAGTGTCAGTTCGATAAATGGTTGGAAAAGCACAACCCACTGGACTTAACAACTGTTTAATCATACACAGAAGTGGACACATCAGCAAATCTGCGGCTTGTCCATAATACCAATAATAATAAATAACTAGAATATACTATTTCCTTGTGTTGTATGCCGTGGAAGTGGGTGTGATACAAGCTAAATCTATTTCAAACCTAATCCTTGGATTGCTAAGAGCTTCAGTAACCTCTTTTCTTGAACGAATATCCTAAACAGCCTCATTAGGATCATATTAAATATCGTCACATCATCGAAGGTCGACTGGCAGACAATGCCCTGGGCATACGCCCGTGTACAACTTGTGCATTAAGTTAATTTAAAATTAATAAATAAATATGGTTGGGTAGAGGGGGTTACCCAGCAGACAGTGGAGGTGAGCACTGACGCGTCGCAATCCACCTCTAGCGACTGGTCGCTGCAAGTCGCCAGAGGTGGATTGCGATTGCGCCGCGAAACTTTTTTGCAATCTATTTTATTACTAGACTAGCGACCCGCCTCGACTTCGCACGAGGTGCAATGTAGATCCTAGTGTGAAGTAATTATTATTGTGATTAGAATATACTACAAGATAACATAATATACAGTTATAGGCACGCTCCGCAACTGATGGCCGCTGGTATCCGGAACGGACCTACGACGGCCTCTCTGCCCCCGCATTTTTAATTTCTAATATCTTAAGATATTCATTTTCATGATATGCTGTAAATTGCAACTTCGTGTAAATGAAATGCACACCTTATTGTTTAAAGTTTCGCTGGAATCTCGCAAATACTTAAAATCCAAAATGAGTAAAAAAAATCTTGATTGATCTATAAGACACGATAGACGACCCGCTTTAAACATGGTTTTTATCTATTTTTCGTGTCAGTCTGTTACTCATTTTTCATCAGTGCAACGACCATATGCGAAGCGTGGCAATAGACTAAGATCTGGCTGCAGAATCAATGCACTCATCGAGTACGTGCTAAAAACTCATATACCCACGCATATTTATGCTTAGGAGATTATATATCTCCCAACATGAAGGGACCCGATGACTCCTGCCGGAGACTCTACTCGGGGGTTGTGCGGTCCATGGCCCTTTACGGGTGCCCAGTATGGGCGGGGGCCCTGAAGGCCAGCAACGTCGCGATACTGCGGCGACCGCAGCGAATGCTGGCCATCAGGATCATAAGGGGGTACCGCACGATCTCCTTCGAGGCGGCGAGTCTCCTGGCCGGAACTCCACCGTGGGACCTGGAGGCGAGAGCCCTTGCAGCACTGTATCAGTGGCGCAGGGAGGCGCAGGAGTTGGGTCGATACCCCGAGATTCGAGAAATCGATGACCGGAAATCCCAACTCCGCCAGGTCACCATAGGGGAGTGGAGGGAACGACTCGGGCAACCGAGCGCCGGGCACGCCGTCATTGCGGCGGTAAGACCCGTTATGGAGGATTGGCTCGAGAGGCGTCACGGGACCCTCTCATACCGATTGACGCAGGTGATCACTGGGAAGGGATGTTTCGGAGATCACCTGTGTCTGATCCGCAAGGAGCCAACGCCTGAGTGCCACCACTGCGATGGCCAGACCGTGGACACGGCTCTCCACACGCTGGCAGAGTGCCCGGCGTGGGTTGAGCAGAGGCGAGACCTCGTGGCGGCCATCGGAGTGGGAGTTCTCTCGCTCGATAGCCTGATTGCGGCTATCGTGCGGAGCGAGAGTGCGTGGAACTCTGCCGTCTCCTTCTGCGAGCAAGTTATGCTCGCGAAGGAGACGGCGGAGCGGGACCGGGAGAGGTTTAGAACTCTCCCGGCCCGCCAGGCCCGGGCACGGGCCAGGCAGCGCAGGCGACTCAGGCGCCGGAGGTCGCAGAACGACCTTCGTCCTCCATAAGCGCAGGCCTGGGGGTGACAGGTGAGGCCATCTGTCACCCTAGCAGAAGCAGGCCGGGGTGGCGGCGAGCGCGTTGCGAAGCGCGCTCGCTTCCAGGGAGCACAGGGAACATGGGGTTCCCACACGGGGCGGGGGTCGTCTACTCGTCTGTGGATGACCCGAGGTATGTCGGGGCACCAGGGCCTTCCTTTCTAGGGTATACCTGGTTCCCCGACTATTAGTACCCGGCGAAGGCGTGCGGTTTTAGTCGGTTCGAGTCCGACATGCCACCCACAGGTGGTATCCGAGGGGATTTCCGCACGGAAAAAAAAAAAAAAAAAAAAAAAAAAAGGAGATTATATATCTACCAGGTTGCCTATCAAAATGTGGCCGCTAGGTATTTTAAATTAAATTTTTGTTAATTGATTTTTGCGAAAACATTTCGTTTACTTGTTTTTTAAATAAAATATCGGCAATATATATAAAAACTGAAAAATCACGGTTGCCGTCGCGCACTCGGCCGCACCTCTTCGCAGCCAGGTGTAAACAGGTATGATTTTGAGACATTTATACGTTCATAACGTACGTTTATTATTTTTCAATCAAATTAAAGCTAATTTTTTTCTGTTTATTATGATATACGGTTGCCTAATTAAATCTGACCGCAAATAAGGGTTGCTGGCTGTTAAAGTTGGTAAATGTTTAGGCTAGAGTGCAAGAGAGTTAGCGCGTAACATCACTAGTCAGACAAGGATAGCGATTGCCAGCTGTACGACGCTTTAAAGCCATTGCATATAAGTCGAATGCTAGTGTTATATAATATATATATAAACTGGGTTTTTAGCTCATACTCGATAAGTGCACTGATTCTGCAGCCGGATCTCGTACTACAAGGTGCAGCTAGTTTTTAATAGAAATCAGTTTCCTTAATCGTGTCCATGACACATGTTTCCTCTGTCGAATACTTTTACCATAGAGAAATAGGCATAGAGAGAACACGGGGTACCGCTGCCTGCAAGTAGAAGTGGTACAGGCACCGAGAGATATGGATGCCCGATAGTACCCTCTGTGTCTGTTTAGCTAACCTGCGATTGGCTATCGTGAAGTGGATATGATTTTGATCGTAGAACAGGCGGGAGATTAGTAATTTCTCCACCCAACAACAGAGCTCGATAAGAAAGAGGTAGAAGGAACTATCAATTATCCATCTCTCTCGTTGCCTATATTGCAAGATTGAGGCTCTTGTTCACTTTATGCTTATATCTCTGTGACTTTTACCATTCATATTTAATGCCGAGTGCATATTCTTATGAAATGAAAATTGAAAAAGAATAATTTATATATGAGCCCAGTAATGCACTTCTGACTTTAAAAAAATAATAATTTTCTAATAACCTACTATACGAAAACGCTGATTTTATGACTTCAAAATTAATTAAAGTGACCGTGTTAGTAGACCATGGATTCCTGTAACGTAGGAATACTGTAAAGTAGAGTAGCCTTTGAGAGAGAGAGTCTTTGAGAGAAAAATTAGTAATGTTTTCTCATAGAAACATAACCTAGAGATAAGAAGAGCCACAACCTTGCAATAAAAGTAACGAGAGAGATGGATAATAGATAGTCCCGTTTAATTCTTTCTAGTCGAGCTCTGATGTTAACTGGGGAATATGAGGGGTTAATAAGTAGCCAATCGCAGCTTAGTTAAACAGAGACAGAGGGAAATATTGGGCATCCATTTCTCTCTTTGCCTGTATCGCTTCCACTTACTGGCAGTTGTACCCAGTGCTCTCTCTGTGCTTATATCTCTATGGTTTATCTTTTCATGTGGAAATAAATATACCATTGTCGTGGGCAACTCTACCGAAAAACTACTTATTGACATTTGACGTTTTAGTTCACTGTTGTGAAATTGTATGCATGTACTTATTCGTTAAAAATATTTTGAAATTTATTGCGTATCTTTGAAATGAAGAATATTATTTAATCATTGCAAATGGATAAAAATCCAAACTGTAACAAAACCGACAATAATGAAATGGAGTCGCTCAAAGAAAGCTCTACAAAGATCAAAAACAAAAATCGTGGGAAAAAACGAAAGCGGTAAATTTGTAAACAAACAATATTGCTAATTAATTCGAAGCTTTTAAAAAATGCTTGGCGCTTGTATTAAACATGTTTTCCATTTTTTAGAAGACCCAGTGACAGCAGCAGTGAATATGAAGAAGTTTTACCAGAAAATGCATTGGAAATAGAGAACAATCTACATGCTTCGGCTGTTAAAAATAACTTAGATGAAATAAGTGTTAGAAAAATTTTAAAGGTAAGCCAAATTAACAACCTTGTTCAATCACTGTATATGTTATTAATGAACAAAGTGTGTAGGTTACCTTTAAGCAAATTACCATACTAAGGATTAAATTTTTACGTTCGTCAAGTCACATCATCACATCACATCAACAGCCTATAATAGTCCACTGCTGGACATAGGCCTCTCCCCTAAAAGTAGGTTTTGGCCTACTATACCACGCTGGCCAGACGGGTTGGTATAGGGTTTGTTTCAAGTTTTCCTTCTCTTTGCAGTGCTGTTTTCTCCCTTAGTCAACTTTTACGACACCCACGGGATGAATAGGGATGGTGACATTACATATTCTTAATCTGTCACCATACTGAAAAGTGAATAAAAGTGTGTTAGTCAAGTAGTGAATAAAATTCACACTTAGTTATACATCATCGAAGTAGCATTTACATTGGTTCTTGTGTTATACAGAGGGTTAATAATAAGAGCGAAGGGGAAAGACAGTGTGCATCACTGAGTGTCAATGACTAAGTCTCTCAGCAAGTTAAACCTTTTACAGTAGTACTATTTGTATTATGTAAACAGTGTAGTGTATCATCACTCCTAATTAGCTGTAATTCACAATAAATATAATATCTTTTTTTTTATAAATACACAATGGGGTCCTAAGAGTTATAGTTGATAAACAAAATTTGTACATAGGTCCAAAAGGAACCCATCTCTTATCATCATAATAAGAGTGTAACTAAGTCAAATGTTTATAGTATTTGTATTAATAATGTTGCAAAAATGGGGAAAAATTATTCCTTTTGAGAGATGCAGATGATGGTTTAATATTAAATAGTTTATTTGCCTTTTTGTTTATAAATTTACAGGCAATTAGGAAAGTTTAGCGATCAACTCCACACTGGATCAAGCCTGTCTCGTGGATTTTGAGTTTACTCATTAGTTTTGGATGATGAAATTACATTTCATCTAATTATTAACCTTCTGTATAACACAAGAACCAATCTAAATGCTACTTTGATGATGTAAAACTAAGTGTGAATTTTATTCACTACTTGACTAACACACTTTTATTCACTTTTCCGTGTGGTGACGGATTAATAATACAGAGTGTCACCACCCCTATTGATCCCGTGGGTGTCGTAAGAGCCGAATAAGGGAGTAAACTACGCAAGACAACAGCACTGCAAGGAGAAGGAAAACTTGAAACAAACCCTATACCAACACGTCTGGCCAGCGTGGTATAGTAGGCCAAAACCTCCTTTTTAAGGAGAGGCCTACGTCCAGCAGTGGACTAGTAAAGGCTGTTGATGATGATGATGATGAAATTACAATTTATTTTCATAATAAAGCAAAAATAAAAAATGGATATTAGCAGTCGCATGTTTCCTACTCAAACCTTTTAAATGTTGATAAATATGTAAACGTAATTGGTATCGAATGAAGATGTGTGCGTTATGGCACATGTACAATAGCGGACGAGTATGTGATAGTGTCTCTCTCTCTCTATCTGTGTGTATGTATGTTTGTGTGTGTGTGTTTAAATTGTTGTAAATGTGGTATGTGTTAGTTTTATGATATTACCTGTACTAATAATTCTGATTAAAAATATAACTGGGATAAAAGCCAGCTAGTGTATAAAATATCTAGGTGCTATAAAATTGTATGAACTAACAAAATATGATTACATATCTTATTGTTATTCTATTGATGTTACTACCATTATTAATTAAATTGATGTCTAAAATTTGTACTATTTTGCAGAAAGTAGTAACAAATGACCATGTGCTAGCTCTGGTAAAACTTCGTGAGGAAGAAGAGGACTCTGGGCCAGAGGAGAGCAGTTTGCGTCCAAAACTTACCAGGGCTAAGGTTAAGTAAGTTAATTTTTTTTTATCATTTAGCTTGTTTACCCATATATTAATAAAATAATACTGGGAAATAAGAGTAGGTATAACAAACTTAAGTTGCAGAACTAGGTTCTTAATTCACAGCTTGAAAATTAATGAAGTATTTAGCCTCTTTTAAAGTTACAAATAGCAAATAATAATGATAATAAATTCCTTTATTGGCACAATATACTAGTAGGTACATAGTACTGGAAATCTCAATAGAGGTACAGAAATCTTAATTATAGTGTTCTGCTGGTACTTAAAATAGGATATCCTGTGCTATAAGTACCAGCAACCTTCCAGTTTCACAGCTATAAAAGGAATGAAAAAAATTATGACATGTTCATTACTTTCTTAACTTTCATGAGGTGCTTCACAATTATAAAGGATGTAGAGTTTTTCACAAGTGTTTCTTTTGGGAATACCCAACTATTTTCAGACCTGACATAGGGAACTTTAACAAGGAGTTAAACCCATTAAACTCAAAAGTTTTGCACCAATTTAGTTAAAATGTTTATACGATGTACAACCTGCTTTAAAGAATGTTTTATTCCATTTTTTGCTTCAGTTCGTTTCTCTTTCTCATCAATGCGACCACAATATTGACGGGCCTGCTGGTCTAGCGGTTAGTGATCCTGACTGCTAAGCCATGGGTTCGATTCCCACCTGGGATAAATATTGTGTGATGAGCACGGTCATTTGTTCTGTCTGGGTGTAATTTATGTATAATATGTATATATTTAGAAAAATATATGTATGTTTATTAGCAGTCTGGTGACCGTAGTACAGGCTCTGTCTAGTTTAGGATCAGACTGCCGTGTGTGAGATGCGTGAGATGCGTGAGGTATTATTATTTTTCACTTTCATCATCATCATCAGCCTATCGCAGTCCACTGCTGGACATAGGCCTCTCCCATTGCACGTCACTTAGATCGATTTTGGGCTTCTCGCATCCAGCTCCTGCCAGCCATCCTGCGCAAATCGTCACTCCACCTGGCCTGTGGGCGTCCTACACTACGTTTGCCGAGACGCGGTCTCCACTCAAGAACTCGTTTTCCCCAACGGTTATCGGTTCTGCGGCTAATATGGCCAGCCCACTGCCACTTCAGCTTGCTGATCGAAGGTGTTTCTACCTAACTGCAATGTCTGCCCGAGGTACACATAATTTTGAACAACTTCGAGAACGGCACCGTGTACCGCAATCGGTTCCGGTAGTACATGTTCGTTGAACATGACCTTGGTTTTATCCAAGTTCATCCGTAGGCCGATGCGTACAGAAGTGTCAGCTAAGTCATTCAGCATTTGCTGTAGGGCCTGCAACGTCTCTGCCATGATGACGATGTCGTCTGCAAATCGCAAGTGAGAGATGTATTCGCCATTGATATTGATGCCACGCCCTTTCCAGTGCAGCGTCTTGAACATGTCCTCCATTGCATTTGTGAACAATTTCGGGGAAATAACGTCCCCTTGTCTCACTCCTCGGTGCAATGGTACGGGCCTTGTTTGCTGATTCTGTACTTGGACGTAGAGACATCTCATCACTTGGATGTATCTCCAATCTACTTGGCAACGCTGCAGGGACTCCAGAACAGACCAGATCTCGATCGAGTCAAAGGCTTTCTCATAGTCCACGAATGCTAGACACAGGGGCTGATTATATTCTTCGGTCTTCTGTATAATCTGCCGCACTGTGTGGATGTGGTCTATGGTGCCATATCCGCTCCGAAACCCAGCTTGCTCCGGTGGTTGGAATTCGTCGAGTCTTTGCGCAAGACGGTTCGTGATGACTCTCGAAAACAGCTTGGAGACGTGGCTTAGAAGGGATATGGGTCGATAGTTCTTCAACCTGGTCTTATCATTTTTCACTTTATTTATTTTATATGCATATTAATTATATTTTTAAACATACACTTTAAAAAAAAAACAAATAGAAATATAAAAAATAGTAGACCACCAACATTATTATTATTATTATTTCTTTATTTCATTCTTTATACATATAAATTACATTTTTAAATATATTTATATACAAAAACAAAAAAATAAAATACATTTAAAAATATAAAAAATAGTATCCCATCGGTATCGGGTACAGAGACCAAGATATCGGTGGTTAGGACTCCAGAGACAGAAACTTCCTCACAATACGTGCCGTATCGAGAAGAACTGCTTTCTGCATCAGACCCTTAATCCAACTGCCTAACGCGAGCCTCTGAAGATGTTGGTCGAGGCTCTTAGCAACTAATCCATGGGCCGATATGACTATCGGTACAACGATTGCTGAATCAACATCCCACATGTCGACAATCTCGTGGGCTAAATCCAAATACTTCACTTGTTTATCTTTTTCAGCTTTCAAGAGATTGTCGTCATGTGGAATGGTAATGTCAACAATCATTGCTCGGCGCTCCAATCGGTCTATTACCACTATATCAGGTTTATTGGCAACTATAGTCCTGTCAGTGATAATAAGGCGATCCCAGTACAACTTTGCACGACCATTTTCAAGAACTGGGTCGGGCACATATTTGTAGTACGGTAACTCTACAGTCACAAGGTTATACTTAAGAGCAAGTTGCTGATGGACAATCCTGGCCACTTGGTTATGTCTATGCAAGTACTCGCCGTTGGCAAGACGAGAACAACCGGAAATTATATGTCTAAGGCTTTCACCAGGACAATGACATGCCCGACAAATGTCTATTGTGCCGTCCTTCAGGATATACTTCCGATAATTATTCGTCATAACAACTTCATCAGTAATTGCAAAGACATAACCTTCAGTTTCCCCGAAGAGGTCACCGAATCGAAGCCAGAATACAGACGCTAGTTGATCTACCTCAGGCCTGTTCAAGGCTCGATAAAAACGTCCATGCAGCTCTTTGCCCTTCCATATCTCCTTACGATCAGTAATGTTGAGTACTGCAAATTTGCGCCAGTTCTCTTTACCTAGACCAAGCGGAGTGAGTCCGTTATCAACTGCTACTACATCCCTATGCATATCCACATCAACAGACAGGAAGTAATTCCTAAGGTTACATATCTCACGATTGTGGAGGGTCTTGACATTTAGAAAACCACGACCACCACATTTTCGTGGAATATATAACCTCATCACCGATGAACGTGGATGATGCATTCGGTATACAGTAAGCAATGTACGAACTCTTCTATCCAGGGTATCTAGTTCAGTCTGAGTCCATCTAAGTATGCCAAAATAGTAAGTTAGAACTGGTATGACCCAATCATTATAGGCTCTCACCTTATTACCACCTGATAAAAGACTATTTAATACTTTTTTCAGGCGGCTAAAGAAGCGTTCCTGTAACGATTGTTTCATAGTCAACTCATTTACACCTAACGCCTGTGACGTACCCAGATATTTGTAAGTTTCGTTAGCTGAGAGACATGTAAAGTGCGTGGAATCTGAGAGTTCCAACCTATCAGACTCCACAACCCTGCCTCTTTTTACATGCATGATTGCACACTTATCTACACCAAATTCCATCCTGATACATTTAGTAAAGGTTTTAGTTATTTCTAGTAAATTCATCAGTATGGAACTACTGGAAGCAAACAATTTTAAATCATCCATGTAAAGGAGGTGGGATATAACCTTACCATCTCTCTGCAAACGATAGCCTAGCCCTGAACCCTCCAACATAGTGCTGAGAGGATTTAAAGCTAAGCAAAACCACAAGGGACTTAAACTGTCACCCTGAAATATAACCCGCTTAATCATTATATATTCGCCATCGCCTTGAGATTGCCGACATCCTGGATAGCAAAGAACCGTTCTCCATTGCCGCATACATGTCTCCATAAAAGTGCATAGAGTTGTATCAATCTTGTACAACTCCATCACCCTCAAGAGCCACGTATGCGGTACAGAGTCATAAGCTTTTTTATAATCTATCCAACATGTCGACAGATCTTTTCGGTTACGACGAACTTGTTGGTTAATAGTCATGTCAATAATAAGGAGCTCTTTAGTGCCACGTGCCCCACCTCTACATCCATTCTGAGAGTGAGATATAATAGAGTTGTTCGTAATATGAGATGTTATCTTCACTCTAAGAATGGACGTTAGTAATTTATATAACGTCGGAAGACACGTTATGGGCCTATAATTTTTGGGATCCGTGGCACTACCAGATTTATAGACTAGGTGAGTTAGTCCTGTAGTCATAAAAGATGGAAGCGAACCTGATTCTAGGCATGATTGAAAATGAGATGCCAAACGTACATGTGAGCTACGGAGCCACTTTAACCAAAAGTTATGCAGTCCGTCCGGTCCCGCTGACTTCCAATTCGGTAGCGAACGAACTGCATAAGCTATATCCATATCTGAAATTGATACTGGCTCCATTGTATTGATTGACTCACACGATCGTTCGACATCTCGCATCCATTCACCCTCTGTGTGAGTGATAGGCATCGACCATATGTTACGCCAAAATGTATTAGTAATTTTAACATCTGGAAAATGTCCATCACTCACTAAATCAGGCTGCGCCCACCGTCTATAAACCCACCTCTCGTCCCTTTGGAATGTGCGATTCTGAGTATATCGGGCCACTCTTTTTTTATACCTTCGTATACGGTTTGCCCATGCATAAACCTTCTGTTTCAGAAAGTCAATGCGCTCTGTGACTCGTGCCATATAATCACAGGACCTGATACCAGTTCCCGAAAAAGCCTGATTCACAAAGCGCATTACTCTCGGGCGTGTGTTGCCCGATCTGAAACAGATAAGCTTGCCAATGAGTACCCTTGCCTCAGCGATACGACGTTCAATTCTATACTGCCACGACGGTACCAGAGACTTAGGTCGAGGAGCCATGTCAACTCTTGAGAATTTGACACCAGCTACTCGACATGCAGTAACGGCCGCACAATATAGAATTGAATGTGTATCACTGAGGTTTTCACATTTTTCAAAATATGGTGGTAATATAGAATCAAGGGCACACACTAACGCCTTATTTCGCTTATGCATCGGCAAACGAGGTAAACGTGGTCTGTTTACGAAATTCATGGACCCATATTCCAGGATAGCACCTTCCAAAGTATTCCTTATTATATCATTGTACTGGGTACTTACAGAAGAAGCATCAATTTCCTCTCCTTCAGCAGGAGAAGCCTGTGGTATTTCGAGATCTTGATGCGTGACTGCTTGTGAAGAAGGAAAAGTAGTGAGGCTTATCTGTAAGTCGGAGCGTAGCCTTTCAAGTACAGAGCTATTCAACAAATTACATCGCTTAATAGCTCGCACTTGATCCGATAACCTTTGCACCGTAACGTTAACAGTTGGTTCAAGTTCCTGAAACAGAGTTAGTAAACGATTACGATACGCAGTGAGATTAGTTTCACCCTCTGTAGCCACAAAATATGCTCGCATGACGTTCTCGTTCATTGAAGAAGTCCATTTCATGCGACGCACATTACCACCGATAGCGGGGGCCCTATTCGAAGCCGATGGGCCTCGGGATCCCAGGAAAACCGGTGGCCGACCTTTCACCTGCCGACGTACAGGTGTTGGCGACGTTGGCGGGGAGAAAAACTCGTCGCTTGAAGTCGAGCTCGACGCCTCTGTAATCACCGGGACTTGTGTTGTGACTTCCGGGGACTGCACGGCGGAGCGAAGCGACGAGTCCGGAGGTGTTAAACGTGCTCTGCTGGCTCTAGCTCTTGTAATCATTAACAAACAACAGTAGAATTTCTAAGAAAAAGATCTTGCTGTTTATTTGACATGACATTAAATGTCGTTTCTCACGTATATTTTTTACCATTATAGAGTTATTTTAATCGAGTTGGGATTTTCTTTTCGCAATATATGTAATACATATTCTATTCTGAACTTTTCTCGAGTACATTAATTTTGCTGTAATCTAAAATTTTATAAAAATAGAAATTATACAGAAATTCTGACTGCTGTAGATAAGTGTTGCTAGTCTTATTATTATTATTATAAATGTGCGAGATCAAAGCATGGTACCGTGCAGCTAGTACTTTATAAAGTCATGACACTTACCATCAATCTTACTGAGGATTTAATTAAGTAATTATCTTTTTGCAGGGAGTTAATGAAAGTTTCCCCAAAAGCAGCCCCATGGAACTTGGAAAACTTGGAACTGACACCTATAAAACACATTCCAGTCAAAACCAGACCAGAAGTTAAGGCTTTAATAGCCCAGGAACTGCCAGATGATGAAGATGACGAGGAATATGAACCTACTCATGATGATATACCAGTAAATATAAAAATACATGAAACTTCAATAACTGCTACTTTTCTTCTTTAAATTGATTTTATCTATACTTGTCTTCCACTATGTTACACATGTTTTCAAATAGCGGTCATCTTTTTAACTAAAAATCTTTGTAGTTTTCATGGATTTCTTGAGAAGAATACTTTGATGATGATAAAAATATAAAAAATCGTCAACCAAGAAAGAACCTCCTGCCTTTAATGATATCTTATTCTTCCTCAGAGTGATGATGACCAAGGATTGGAATCATGTAGTGACGTAGACTCCCAGCCTCGAACGCCGGCGACTCCCAAAAGTTTGCATTCAGCCAGCCCCAAAGTAGTCAAAGATGGGCCGTTTAAAGTGCCACAGGTAACTACAAATTAGTTTTCATGTGCCGCTACACTGTACAGTACTTACTTGTGAAAGCACTGTACAGTGTAGTGTGCAGTGTCAGAGGTTAAGTTAGGGACTCCCGGTAACCTTACTAGAAAAGTAATTAAAGAACTGTCAACTGGTTTTCTACCTGAGTGTTCCATGGTCTCGTTACTGGTCTCGTTCTGGTCTAGTCGCAGTAAATGTGCTGAAGCATGGCTCTCTTGCAATGTAAATATTATAATCTTAGTCGAAGTCCATGTAATAATTTTATTTTAGAAACGATCACCAATAGAAAATTCATAGTTAACAATGCAGATTAAATTACGTAAAATTGTCAGTCTTGACATCTCTGAGTTCGGGAGACACCATAAGAAGGTACTCCAATACACTGCCTATAGACGTTGGAAGAAGCGGCGAAGGAGTGCCTATTCACGAGCCATTTCCTATATACACGCACGGTATAGCGCACTGTTTGGTTTCGTTTGCTCTTACTATACCACATCGAAAATCCTTGTGCAGTTTCCCTATCTATTTACAATAAATAAGATTGAAGAAGTTTTAGGTTTTTTTTATGTTGGAAGGGGCAGACGAGTAGACGGGTCACCTGATAGAAAGTGACCATCGCCGCCCATGAACGCCTGCAACTCAGGAATCACAAACGCGTTGCCAGCCTTTTAGGAAGGAGTACGCTCTTTTTGAAGGTTGCCGATTTCGTCAAAATCAAAAGTCATATCTCTGAAAGAGCCTCAGTTGTGTATGACATTTTAAAGTTATTCTCCCACAGGAAGTTTCAACACCAACCCGCCGTAAGCTAAATCTTGAAGAAGACGCGACAATAGCGCTACGAACACGATCTAAACTTAGTTTGTCAGCGACATCTATTGAGCACATAGAGAGTACATTCGTGCCTCCCGATGATCTCCCCATGCCAGCTGTCGACGACCTTTGGAACGAATTTCTGAGCGAATGCCTGAACCCAGCCTCGACTTCCAAACATGAGGATGATGATGAAACGGATCCAGAGTACAACGTTGCCGCTGATCCAGATGCGCGTAAGATTTTATTTTATTCTTAATTTTAGTATATTTTTAAACTATCCTTTACATTAGATGCCGATAATGTATGCTTAGTCAATAGGTCTTCTTTTATCATTGCGATTAAGTATCTATAACTATATACAAATGTGTTAAGTTGGTTTGTGTACGCTTCTTAATCTCAAAAAGTTCTGTACCGATTAAGTCGTAATTTTGACACGATATACAACCCGCTTCAAATATTGTTTTTGCTTACCTTTTGAGTCAATTTCGTTCATTATTTGTCATCAATGTCATCTCTACGTGCCACATCAAAGCGTGGCAGGTTACAGATAGTTATAAATGTCTTTTTGAAGTGAAAATTCTTTATAATCGTTGTGATTTGCAACTCGATGAAACGAAAATGCGTCACGATAAAGAAACAAACACATAAATTTATAGGATTAAGTCGGCGAGAGAATGAGATAAAATACATTACACATTATTTTTAATATAATATTTTGACAGTGTGAATATTTTTATCATTTTATCGGTTCCATTCCTGGGCCGGACAAAATTTTAAAGGGTTTTTCTGAGATTAAAAAAAGAATACTTTTTTTCGAAAGTTTTTACACACGGCAGAAGTGAAACACACACACTTTCCTTTTTTAAGTTTTCTGTATGAGAGTGCGGAGTTCTACGGATTCTCTGGACGCGAAAGGGGATCTTCCGGAGTCGTGATTGTGAATGGCGCAGCTTGAATAATCGTATTTGTACTCGGAGCAAAATCAACGAAAATATATTAAAATTGTTAAATGAATTCGAAGATGAACTTCTGGTATTATCAAAGAAAAGAAAAAAAAACTAAAAAAATGAATGGGGTTTCCTTCGTCAACTAAGCCATGTGACTCCAAATTCTCTTTTGGTTTCCTTTTTGAGCTTGAAGTTAAAAAATAAAATATTTCAGATGACGAAGATGAAGAAGCATTAGGAAACAGTTTAATCAAGATTTCTAAGAAAGAATTGAACGATTTAGTAACAGAATTATTTAATATAATTCCTGAAACAGCCACAGACGACGAGCTCCTGGCGGATAATCTCGCCGGTGATGTACTAACGGAACATAATCAGACGGAGGTAAGGTTTACTATGAATATTTAAGGTAACGAAACTATTAACATCACTGCTAATTCTACTACGACAAGAAAAAGAGCGAGCGAAATCAAGTCTGTGTCTGATTTTGCTGCAAATGCTATAGTTTTCATGTACCTATTAGAATATTTTATAACTTTCGTTTTCGATTCATCAACAGCCCCTAACAGTCAACTGCTGGACATGGCCTCTCCTTATAATGGAGGTTTTGGCCTACTATACCACGCTGGCCAGACGGGTTGGCATAGGGTTTGTTTCAACATTTCCTTCTTTTTGCAGTGCTGTTGTCCTGCAGTTTGCTCCCTTAGGCGACTGTCACTACTCCCACGGGATGAATAGGGGTGGTGACACTCTGTATTCTTAATCCGTCACCACACGGACCACAACACACCAACGTTTTCGATTGTTAGTCGTCTATTAGTGTTACTTTTGATGAATGTCAATATTAAATTAGCAAAAGAAAGTATAGCAAGCAAAGATATATTCATATTGGAAGCTGATTGATTAACCACATGGTTTTATTTAAATTATTAAAACTTAAAGCTAAACATGAAGTGATCTGTGCCATTTTTTATTTGATTTAAATCCTCAAAATATGTTTGTTACGTTTGTATATCTTGGAAATTAACTACTTTATGATATGTACAGGATATTGATTAGGGAAAAATATATATGTATGAATCTGTATTTAATCGCAATAATATCAACGATCTGTTGCCCGAAGCTCTCGGTTATCGTGGTAAAAAGTAGTCTATTTTACTCAATGACAATGTAGTTTTCCATCGTTGAAAGAACATTTTAACATCGGTGTGGTAGTTTAGGAGTGAAAACGTCACCAACAAACAAACTCATTTTCACATTTTTAATGTAAGTGGAAAATAGTATCTGAACGCAAGAAATGCAATAAATCACTGTTTTCATCTTTCCAGACATCAAACCGTTGGGAGGGTAAACAGGAACCTGTGTCCGATGAAGAACAGAGACAGAGCTTTTCAGACAGAATAACGTTCGAAAAGAGAGGATACACAAGACGACTTTCTATGGGCAAGACTGAACCATCAGACCCGCCACAAGAAGAGGAGGAAGTAAGAAATGGAATTGCGGAGAGAGAACAAGAAAATACGTCACGGGCCCGGTAAGTCATTAATTCAGTGTTTATTAGTCTGCATCCGAAACATCGAAAGCTCATCACAGGACAACCATCACCATGATTCATTATTTTCCTGCCCTTCTCCAAGTTTTTACTGATTTCTTTAATAGCCGGTCGCATGCCAGAAGTTAAGTCCCTTTCTGAATGTAATCGTTTTTAAACGGAACAAAGGAAAGTCGATTTGGGTAAAGAAATCTGATAGGACTACCTAAGGTAAAGTATACCGAAGTCTCGGGTGGAAAGGCGATTAAGACTGCAGTAGCTTTAAGAATCTGTGGTCGCGTACCCTATATTTGTCGTTTGATTAGACTTCTAATGTGAAGGGTCAGACTGGCCGTTGGAGTAGCAACGCGTCGCCTATGTGATATGTAACATGTAATGCAGTGTGGCGACGCGTCGCAATGCTCAAGTGACTCTGCTGCTCTCATTATTTCTGCAAAATAATTTCGATGTTTCACATCTGCCAAACATCCTAACGACGGGTTAAACTTTTTTTACTAAATTCAAAAGTCATTTCGTTAGTAATTTTTTATTTCAAAATATTATGATCTTATCAGAAATATAGTATTGATGGATTTGTATACTTAATTGAAAATTGCCTGAACTTAAACATGAATTTTAATAATGATATATACCTATAATGCCCGCTGTTTTCAGTAAGACGCCTCGAAGTGTGGACGTAGCCATAGAGGAAAGGGAAGATGAAGAAGAGAGAGAACCTGATGGAACACAGGGGGCGCCGCCTTCTCTATTACGAAGATATCTGAGCAAAGCCAGGACTGAACGAGTTACTATCAAAGTTGATGAAGGAGTGACTGTAAATATATCTAATTATTATTGTATAAGAACAATAATTCATTTATTTATTAGAATATTTTAAAAACAATTGTTACAAGATAATTAATGTTCGTACTAGTATTATAATCTAATCACCCAGGAAACATCATTTGTGTGATGAGTTCGTTCATTTGTTCTGTGTTTTTCATTACAAATTATGTTGTAAGTTTATAGTATAGTCTCATAGCTTATACAAATTTAGTTCATGACTTATTTTGTTGTGAAGGTTCTGCCGGAGCAAATAGCGATACTACAGCAACAGTTGCGACAGCATATCCAGTTGGCGACTTCGAACTATTTGCAGTTATACATACACCCCGAACACTGGCGCATGGCGCCACCATTTAAAGAATATTTAGTAAGTACTTGCTACGTATATTTCTAGCTTTACATTGAATATTAATCTGTAATAATTAACTTTGAAAAAGTATCACCGAGTTTAATGTAAACTATATCTATATCCGTACTATATCTGTATTTTCTTAATTATTTTTTCTTAAACTTGAATTAAAACAAACACCAAGTATCAATTAAAAAAAAAAGAAATCACAATCGGTTCATAAGTAACGATTATATGACCTAACAAGCAGAAAGAAACCTACAGCCAACTTAAAGACCTTCTTATTCGAAGTCGTTTAAAAAAGGAGTGACGGATACAAATATATATATCAACCGAGGGCTAAATGAGAGTTTAATATGAAAGGAAATTTGGTAACATGGGTTGCCAATAGTAGGACACTAATTTTACAAACGGATATATTGAGGATCGCATAACTAAAGGCCAAATTCTCGTAGTAAAAGTTCGGTCACAATTCAGTTCCGATCAACTCTCGATATCATATCATCTCTCGATATCATCGTCATGAAAGGTATTTTCGTAATAAACATCGGACATTTACCGGATTGTTATTATATCGTATTGTAACCGAAAATTGAATCGGTAATCTTCTAGTCTTAGTAATACTTCACTATTTTACTACGAAAATACCTTTTATGACACAACACACTAAAACTGAGTACATGTTCTGCGATTTCGGCGGCCTTCCTGCCGTGAAATCATTTCGCTGGATGGAATAGCTATAACAGTCTGCCCCAATTTCATGTACCTCGGCTCGTTTTTACAAAATTATGACGAAATAGATAGGTCTGTACAGCATCGAATCACTACAGGGTGGATGAAGGGGCGACATGTAACAAAAATTTATTGCGATCCCAAGTTGCCTATTACATTAAAGGGCCAAATATACAGAACGATCACTAGACCTGCCGTCCTGTATGGTTCTGTATGGCCCATTAAGAGAACGGATGATGGACGCCCGAACGTAGCTGAAATGCGAATGCTGAGATGGATGTGTGGTGTGAGTCGGATGGTAAGGTCAGGAATGAGTATATACGAGGGAGTCTGAAAGTAGCGCCACTGGATGAAAAGTTAAGAAGTTATGAAGAAGTATGTCCATGTCATGCGGAGGGATGAGGAGAATGTGGCGAGGAAAGTGTTAGGTATGGGAATTGAAGGGTACAAGAGAAGAAGAAGACAAAAGAAAAGGTGGATTTACTGTGTTAAAGAGGATATGGTTAGGAAGGGAGTGAATAGTGAAATGACGAATAATAGAGTAGAATGGAAGAAAAATACATACTGCGCTGACCCCGAATAAAATTGGGATAAGGATAGGCAGATGATGCCTGAACACTCTGGCTGTTGGCAGGAAGTGTGTCCTCTAACCTTTATTTTTTAAATCTTAAAAGATAAGTAATTCTATTGTAATAATTTAAGTTCTTTACACAATCCATAACAATGACTACTATTAAAATTATGTAAAAGTGATTCGTTTGATAAAAAATCAACAGGAAACTTTAAGCAAGCTTGGCCAATCGAATCCGAAGTCTGTGGTAAACGTGTGCAATCTGAAACCGGCGCTTGAACTAGCGAACACCTGGGAGAAAACCGTCTCAGTTAACACACCTGAGAACAAACAAATGGTCGAGTAAGTACATTCATTCTAATTGCCTCATCAAAATTTAGTAAAAAATGTTCAATTTTGCTTTAATGTGTAATACTTAGGAATAGTATTAACCGTGGGAGAGAGAGAGGCCACTTTCTACTGAGCTGAGTGTTGTGGATTCGATTCCCACATGGAACAACACTTTTGTGATTCACAAATTATTGTTATGAGTCATGGTGTTCATTGACTCCGTTTCATGTATGTTTGTAAAGTTCCCTGCGTCACAGGATATATTTCTAATGTAGTCATTCGTAGTCTTTAAAGAAAAAATATCTTTTGTTGTATTTCACCAAGTGAGTCAGGCTACTAGAGGAACGACCCTCCCCTCCTCTGAGGGAGCACTCAAAAGCTCTTGATTTGTAGGTGTCCATCATGACATCCTGTCTGCTTTTATTTTTGTTTTTATTCTTTATGCACAAATACGAGTTATACAATGGTGGACTTAATGAGACAGGCATTTGACGACCGAATGACGTAGTGGTTTGTGTAACGTACTGCTATTCCAAATGTTGTGGGTTCGATTCCCACTCAAGTCAAACATTTGTGTGCATGAACATTTAATGTTTGATTTGGTCTGGGTGTTTCTATGTATAATAAGTATGTATTTACAAAAAAAAGTATATATGTATTTATATCAGTTGTCTAGTACCTATAGTACAAGCTCTGCTTAGTTTGGGACTAGATGGCGTTGTGTGAATGTGGTACAATATTATTTATTTATTTATTTTCTGCCAGTCTACTTTAGGGTTGTGCGGAAATGTGTAACTTGGTGCACTAGACATTGATGTGGAAAGTAAAGAAAAATTATTGCATATTAATAATATATAAAACTTTGAGGTTGTAATCTGCTGGGGTGTCCAGAATGCGAGCTCGAACTTTAATTTTTTGCCTCCTATACTTTAACAATATTTTTTTTAAGACAACACCTGCACTAGGAATATATCCTGTGTCGCGGGGGAGTTTACAAATATTTGTGAAAGGGACAGAAAGAATACCCAGGTGACCGCTTAAACAACTACACCATCCGTACAGTACAAATGGTCTTATAATTTATATATTTAAGACGATTATGATATAATTTTAATATGTGGACGCTTTACTTAGTATATTCATTTATATTAAGTAATAATGTTTATCATTTGTTACAGATTTATTATGAAGGAGTCGGAGAGATGGTGAGTGTCTATAAGAATATCAAAGAACTTAGTGATTATTAATGCAAAATTATAATTTTAAATTTCAACAAAGTAAAAATCAAATATTGTGTTAAACTTAGAAAAACATTATTTTGTCAATCATTGCTAACAACAAAATTATTGGTCACAGATTTATGAATTACTCAGATCATATATTTTAAAAATATACTGTTCTGATATGTGAAAACGTAACTAATAATATGATTGTGGTAACCTTAATTTGGTTAAAATGGGGGGTTATTTTATCATCATGCGTATTTAGTATTTATTCTGTAACTAGCTGGTACCCGCGACTTCGTTCGCGTGCAATTTGAAAAGCGCTGCCTTAGTGGGTTCGATTCCCGGACCGGGCAAAATTTTAAAGGGTTTTTCTGAGAGGGAAAAGGGCCGATAGATGGGGAATCCCGCAGCTTCCCCGGGATAGGGCTTTACTAGGCGCGGCGTCGATCCGGGGGGACCTGAAAAATATGGTCCGAGTCCTCCTCGGAGTAAGGCGACTGAGTCCGACCGTTGGGGTGGAAACACCACATACTCCTGGCTCCTACTTCCCCAAGGAGCCGGAGATTGACCGTTTTGAAGATTATTGTTTAAAATGTAGTATTTATGATATTTTTTTGTATAGTCGTCGTCGATTCTCGCACAAGAGTCTCTACACGGGCGAATTCCACGACACCTTCATGGCGGTAGTGGCAAACAGCCCAGTGTTCCTGTACCCATACTTGCTGCCGCCCATGCCGTTCCGCTCGGACAACTGCAAGCGATACGCCTACACTAGATCTGAAGATGAGTTAGTAACGAGACACCATCTTATTATACTGATACATATGACGGGCGTGTTGGCCTTTTGGTTAGCCATCCGGGCTGCTAACCAGAGGTCGTGGGTTCGATTCCCATCTAGGATAAATTTTGTGTAATGGGCACGATCATTTGTTCGTGTCTGCGTGTTGTATTTATTTAGTGATATATAAGTATGTTTATCAGCGGTCTGGTTGCCATAGTCTTCCAGAAACTTAAATTCACACACACTTATACACACCCACCCACACACGCAGGAACACACAAACATACACACTTCATATTAATATTCTTACAATCCGTGCCCATTCACTTACATCTGACCCATAACCCTGTTATAACAAAAAATTATAACACTTAGTAAAGTAGTCAATCAAGTCCAAGATTGATAATAGTGTCTATACCTTGTTTGGATGTCAGGATGTCAGGGTTTCAATAATTATGGAAGAAGAACAAGGAAATTGGAAAAAAATGTAATTCTTTTTAGCTAAATAAAAGATTTTATTTATTTATAGTATAGGTTTAGTCCGCTTTGGGATCACACGGTTGTGCGTAAGATGTGGCAAGTCATTATTATTATCATAAAATACATTTTAATATGATTAATGAATTTATATTAAGTATTTATTAGCGTATTCGACCATTTGACGCAATGTCAAGGTCGATGAAATATTGTCACCCAATATTAAATAAGAACAACTCAGATTTCTGTCCCATCGAAGTTAGAAGATATTGTTTATAAGATCGTCCATTATCCTTTTTCTTCTCTCAAGTATTTATTAGAACGAAGTTCGAAAAAATGTGTAACAATACTTTTTTTCGACACTTCTTGTCCCATTCAATGTGTTTAATTTATCATTATTTATCTTATATATAAAATTCTCGTGTCACAATGTTCGTTCCCGTACTCCTCCGAAACGGCTGGACCGATTCTCATGAAATTTTGTGTGCACATCGGGTAGGTCTGAGAATCGGGTAATCGGTAAGGGTGACGCATCCCTAATTTTTTTTTGTTTTGCAATACAACGTTAGCTAGTTTTATACATAATAAATATATTTTATCTTAAATTTTTAATTTAACTCTATTAACTTGACATTTTATAATATAAATTATAATTACTGAATAGCAAACGCCTACCAAAAAGCGTAAGGAACTTCGTTCCGGAATTTTGTGATTCTTTTTAAATACAATGAATAGTTCATAGTGTGTACCACATGGTGTGGTATTTCTACCGTTCAAGAGAAAGCCTTTTAGTCATGTTCCTTTATACCTTATATTACCTTTAACAGTAGAGCAAATTCATGTCTCTACTCAGTGTTTCCATCTCATTTTACTTTAAACAGGAAGAAAAAGAAACTGGATTCTGTAACATGTTTTTTTCCTAGTTTTCCTACAAAACCTTTATATAATTTATAATTATTTTTCTTACTCTAATTTTAGGCTAATAGCGCTTGGGCTTGACCAGTTTTGTGATTACGTCAGGAGCAACCCCTCCATCTTCAAGCTACCTCCTACAGTACACCCCAGACAACGACAAGGCTTAACTGTCACTCTGCAGCTGGTTATGAAATACATGTTTCCTTGGATACCCTACAAAGGAATGCTCGCACACATACAGTTTGTTAGAAAAAGTGCGACTGCTTCAGAGAATCCTATTTGTGTGAGTGGCCAGTTACTATTTCTTTTTTAATACTATTTATTCATTTGGACGTACTGCATAAAGATTATAGAGATCCATATTTATTTGAAAATTAAATGGGAATATAAAATCAAAAGTATTATCGAGGATAATAAAATAATAACAAGAAATTTAGTTATAGCAGTAGTTTTTAGGCAGGAAATCACTAATAAAACCACAAATTATATCAATTTTAAATGTCCTTGTCAAAAAAAAAACAGAAATGTCTATGTCAGTCGAGCTAAGAATCTTTGAATTCTCTATTAAAGAATAAAATAAAAGTGTATGAGGACTTACATACTAGATTTTAAATGCTTTATTACTATTTAATTCATTTTCTTTTCAGAATTTTTTCAAGAATAACATAATAACGCCAGTTAAACACAAACTGTTACCTTTTAACCCTAAACTGACACTGTACGAACAGCCTGAACATGAAGTACCTAGGATTTGGGTCCGATATCTTAGTAAAACCAGTAAGAGGTTCCGAGTAAGTATTCTTTTGAATAACAAAAAACAACTGAATTGAAAAAAATCTCCTTTCATTGAAGGAGTTTAAATATTGAATGTGAGTTAATTTGAATCTTAAACATATTTTAACTATTTCAGAATCATCTTCTACGCCGCACTAATGTCACGGGCTTGGCCCCTGTAGGTGTGGAAGTACAATTGGGGGAAACGGTCACACAACCCGAAAAAGCACCTTTACCCATCGACTTTACCAAAGAGATCGCCAGCAACCGAATAAATTTACTCCCTAAAGTAACTCAACCGGCTTTGACAGACAAATTCGATATTCAAATTGCTAATACAGTGGCTAATAATAACCAAGCACCAATTTGTAATTTGTATAAATTAGTCGAGACAAGTACTGCGGCTTATCTTATGCCCATGTCATACGTAACAGTTACAGTGAATAGCAACAATGGCCCTATTACCACTCCTGCGGTACTTACACCAGTAGTCCCTACTAATGCTCCAGAAAGTTCTAAAGCTGACGTAATACATGAAAATTTAGGAAATAAAGAACATTGTTCATGTTGTATTTTGTTAAGAAAGATATGTAAAGTAAAACAAACTGTGATAACAGATTATTTTAGACGGAATAAGCCTAGTGTAACTTGCTACTGCAAAGATATAAAATATCCCAAGATATCTAACAGATTAAAAATATTAGTTAGCAATTATAAAAATAGTTCTACGAGCGCATTAGAATTCTTGGACGCAAAATTGAAGAGATTGAAAAAGAAAGATAATGCGAATGATGCAGATGTGACAAACGAAGATAATGCATTTCATATGAATGATTATGGTAAGTATCATCTATGGTTCAATTTATTTTTTAATGTATTTTACATTCATTTAACATGAAAATTGTGTATGAAGCAAAGCTACGGCTACGAAAAGCCGTGTAGAATCACACAATCAGCGTTCATTTATTTGAGAAAATGCTTGAGTAAAATTGTATCTTGCTCTACAAATATGTAGACATTTGCTTACTTTTTTTGTAAAATATATATTTGTTTTTTTTTTAAGAATTACCTGTTGCTCTGTTGACTTAACGAAGGCACGGGTGGCTTAGTGGTTTAAGCGGTCGCCACGCCGCTCTCTACTACGCTGAGTGTTGTGGGTCGGATCCCCACATGGGACGAGACTTTGCATTTGTGTACCTTTGTATCATCATCAACCATCAACAGCCTATAACAGTCCACTGCTGGACATAGGCTTAGAAAGGAGGTTTTGGCCTACTATACCACGCTGGCCAGACGGGTTGATATAGGGTTTGTTTCAAGTTTTCCTTCTCTTTGCAGTGCTGTTGTCCTGCGTAGTTTGCTCCCTTAGTCGCCTCTTACGACACCCACGGGATGAATAGGGGTGGTGACATTCCGTATTCTTAATCCGTCACCACACGGACTTTGTATTTGTATGTTTGTAAAGTCCCCTGCGACACAGCACATATTCCTAATGCGGGAGTTATTTTTAAAACGAAAGAAAATAGAAAAAGAACTGCCGAATTTGTTACGGCACTTTTTAGCAGGCCATTTATGTTAAAGTGCTTGTAGGAAATAAGATTCACATCACATCAACAGCCTTTAATAGTCCACTGCAGTACATAGGCCTCTCCTTAGACAGCAGGTTTTGGCCTACTATACCACGCTGGCCAGACGGGTTGGTATAGGATTTGTGTTAAGGTTTCCTTTTCTTTGCAGTGCTGTTATTCTGTTTAGTTTGCTTCCTTAGTCGGCTCTTACGACACCCACGGGATGAATAGGGGAGGTGACACTCCGTATTCTTAATCCGTCACCACACGGAGTATAAAAATTTAATTAAGACAACAAGATTAACGTGCAAAATAGTTCAAGCTAACTCATCTGAAAAGTAAAGGCTCATTAAATCTATCCATGAAAGCATGAGCCACCACAGCCACTGTCTCTTCTGCTATGACCTGCTCTAGATGAGAACTCGGCTAAAGAAATTGTTAAACTTACTTTAACCATTAACATGTTGCAGCTTTCGTAACATCATTCCATCTAAAACTGCTCACACGAATGACCGCAGCCAGGGATACTTTAATCAAAAGGCGAGTACAAACTATTATATCAAAGTTCAACCCCAACGTGGACGATCCCGTGGTACTAACAAAGAAATTAAGTGAAGCCTTTCGGGCTGAATTAATTGATATGTATAAAGAATTTTTGTGTTTCCTGACTTCGGAACAAGCGGATATAATTGAGGCGTTTCGGGATTATTTCGTTAGAAACTGCGTGCAAGATTTGCTCGAGAGAATAGAAGTAAGTATGTTTAAAATTAAAAACAAAAAGAGTGTTATATAACATAAACAATATCCCAGACTATGTAAAGTTTATAAAGTCACTATTAAACTCATTTAGTCAGTTAAGGTGGAACTCGTGGGTTTTAATATAACACCAATTAGTGCCTATTTACAGTCTTAACAAAAAAGTGACAGCTGCAATATCTTGTGGTAACTTTTCAGTCTTTTAAATACGTCCTGCAACTTATAAATATTCTTAATATTAACTTCGAGCATTGTAAAGATGTTGATACAATAGAACTCGTTGGACTGTCACAACAATAGTTAAAATAGGTTTATCTTTTCAGAAACAAGTTGCAAGTGCGACAGTGCGACTGAACCTTTTGAAAAAATTACATCACATTTTTTTTAACAATCTCTTGACGGCTTGTCAAATTTGTACCAGCTTACTATCTGCTCTGGATGGGTATCCTGAACTTGCTCAATATGTGTTCTCATTGTTTCCACACCGAAAGAAAACTAGGTAAGTTATAAATTATTTACATCACTACCGGTAGCCGTAACCGTTTGCGGGCAAGTAATTTGGCAAACAATTATAATCTCAATTGCACAATTTAAAAATAATATTAATGCTTTTTAGCCATGTTTTCCCAATGTTTAAATATATTTTTTTTATATACGAATAACTCTGGACTAATTTGAATTGAAAAAAAAACAAAGTTCGTATATTGGCTTTTTGATATAAATTCTGTAATGATTTATATAGGTCTGATTTAAAAGAGCCTTCAACGAACAAAAGTGGCAACGAAAAACAAGCACAGGCGACGCTGGACCCAGATCCAGATGACACAGTGTGTGATCAGTCTCATGGGACGATGGACTACGAAGCTGATCATTCCGCAAGGTAACATGGAAAGCATTGATATTCACGGAGTTACTCTAAAACTTCTTACCGACTATCTGTCAAACCTTTCCCAATGTTTAAAAATCGAGCCCTGCGAAGTTTTCACATCCGCAAATGATATGGTACTGGTCATCAATGACGATAACTGGCATGGTGTCCGATTCAGAACTGAGAATTCTGTGGGTGATTCAAACGTAGAGATTCCACCCTACTCTTACCTTACTTACCACTCTACTTTACTCAGAGTGCAGAATTCTTATCGTACGACTCCTGCGTACTCTTCTACTCGACAACAGCGTTCTTGGGTTTGTTTTTCAACTAGGTTTTGGTATATAAAACATTAGATTTTTAATAGTTAATTTACCAATCAAATTCGTTGAAGTGTGATTTATTTTTTAATAAAATAAATTGTTTTACAATTGTATTTGTCTTCTTAGCGACTGTTGGTCCTCTTGACTATGTAACTTCTTCGTTGCGACTCCATCTTTTTAAATAAAAGAAATAAGTAAACTTGTATCTTAATTACAGTGAAGAAGAAGATAACGAAAGAACCAATTTAACGTGTGAGGATGAAAACAATCAGCCAAGAATTTTAAAGAGCGTAAGTGATTTTTTTCAAACAAGAAGTCTTTAGGACTTTAATCGTGCATTTATCATGATTTATAAACAATTATTTTAATCTGAGTATGACTAAAATAACTGCAGCCGGGGATATCAAGTCTTAGTTATTGATGCCGCACAGAATAGATTGAGATGGATCGAAGACTGTGAAGAGAGCCTATATTTTATTCGCCTTTATGTATTATTGAAACCTTAATCTAATATTTTTTTTTTATTAAAATGATCAGATTTCTGAAGCGTAAAGAACTCACTTTGAGTGGATCCAGTAAATTTTACTCTTGTTTAATTCAACTCCAATGCCATGGCTATCAATTATTAATTATCCTAGTAATATGAAATACACATCCAAATATAAGCTTATTACTTTATGAATCTTATAAAGTAAATTATTACATTAAATTTGGATTTATATTTCTTTATTTATATTGTAGGAGATTACAACTCCTGGCAATGAAATACAATCAGGAAACACGGACCAACGGGATTTTATAAACAATATGCAGCAAGATTCTTGTGACTCTTCAAATGCTTCAATGACAATTGTCTTCGATGAAGATTCAGTCAAGCCAGAAGCTATTGAATGGAAAAGAGAAGAAGATAAACTAATCTTAGAAGTACTCAAAGAACATGTTACTCCAGAAGAGAGGAAAGATAAAACTATTATAGAAATGCTCAATGAAAAACATATAATTGATATGATTGCAGATAGCTTGACAGACAAATCTAAAACGGAAGTTACTAGTCGAGTATTGTATTTATTAGAAATGTTAGTTTTAAGTGAGAAATGATAATTAAATTTGTTATTTGTAAATAAACTTTTATATCCAACTTTACTTTTTACTTTATTTGAGGAAATACATATATAAATACACTAAGGCGCAGGGTTCTCTGACCGTCCGTTGCACGCGACTCGGCTGCGTGTAAATGGGTCCGCATTCATCAAGCCTTTCATACATACTCACTGGTTAGGGGTGCTTTAAACGAGGCCCTTCACTACGTTTTTCGGAGCTTCGCCCACGCACAGAGGCCTTAAACCTTTTTTTTTTGTTAGAGGGGGCAGACTAGCAGACGGGTCACTTGACGGAAAGTGACTATCGCCGCCCATGAACGTCTGCAACTCAGGAGTCACAAACGCGTTGCCGGCCTTTTAGGGAGGAGTACGCTCTTTTCTTGAAGTTTTGAAGGTCGTATCGGTCCGGAAATACCGCAGAAGATAACCCGTTACACATATTGGTTGTGCGGGGCAAAAAGTGTCTCGAAAAGCGCACAGTAGTCGAGCGCCAATTATCCAGGTAATGAGGATGAAAATTTTGCCGTGTGGAACGATGGCGGAAATTTGCGGATGGTATTAGTCCAAACAATTCCTCGGAGCACTCTATGATATATGCGATAGAGAATGCAGAGCAAAGCCACATCTCTACGTAACGTTAAGGGATCGAGCCGATCGGAGATGTTTGGGCTATCGATGATTCGAGTCGCTCTTCGTTGGATGCGGTCCAGAGGGAGAAGCTGGTACTGAGGTGCCCCTGCATAGAGTGAAATACTGCCTCGATCTGTTCAGGACATCGAGCTTCTTCGAGGCCAATTTGACCTGACCCTCTAAGTGACCCCGAAACTGGACTTCGCTCGATATCTCGATGCCTAGGATTCCGATGCTGGCTGAGGCAGTTAGGGAGGTGCTCTCAAACTGATGTGATACGACAAATGGTATCTTTTTTGCGGTGAACGCACATACCTGTGTCTTTTTTGGGTTAAACTGGACTAGATTTAGTCGGCCCCAATCTGAAACCTCCGCTAAGGAAGTTTCAATTTCAGACACAAGTTTGTTTCGACTCTCGATGACGTTTTCCCGAGAAATATTGGGGCGGCCGGTATAAAGGGCATCTCCCGTGCTATCATCTGCATAGCAATGGATACTACTAGTTTGCAACATGTAATTGATATGCAGAAGAAACAGTGTGGGTGATAGCACACAGCCTTGTGGGACACCAGCATTTACGAATTTCAAGTCGGAGCATGTATCGTCAACAACGATCTTAATGCTTCTGTCCGCAAGGAAGCTGTTGACCCAATTACACAATTCCTCGGGAAGCCCAAAGGAAGGGAGCTTCGAGAGAAGCGCCTTATGCCAGACCCGATCAAAGGCCTTCGCTATGTCCAAACCAACCGCACAAGCCTCTCCTTCGCTCACGATCGCCTGCTCCTACCGGTTTGTTAGAAAGACGAGAAGATCACCAGCTGAGCGACCCCGGCGAAAACCATATTGTCGGTCATTGAGTAGCTGGTGATCATCCAAGTACCGGAGGAGCTGGCTGTTGATTATGGATTCCATAATTTTAGAGAACAAAGGAGTTATGGCTATAGGCCTGTAGTTGGACGGGTCAGACCGGTCACCTATTTTAGGGATCGGGTGCACAAACGCTACCTTCCAGGAGTTCGAGACGACGCCTTGGAAGTAGGAGAGACGAAAAAGGCGCGATAAAACCGGTGCCAACTCTGGAGCACACGTCTTCAACACGATAGGAGAAATTCCATCGGGCCCACACGACTTATGAATGTCAAGGGAAAAGAGTGCTTTACGCTCCGGATATCCGGCATATAACTGTCACCGCTGTATGGTCGGCGGTACGTTTCCCTCGTCATCCAAAGTCGAGTTGGATGCAAAGAATTTGCCTAGGAGATCAGCTTTCTCCTTGGCATCATAGGCCAACGAATTATCTCCCATCTGCAGGGGTCGAAAGGATTTTCTCCTATTTCTTCTTCATTCCTAAAACGGAAATGATAGGAGACAAAGTTACTATAGTAACAAGTCTAACATTGTTGTATAACTCTAAATACACATCCCAAACTGTTGTAGGTACCAGCATCGATGTCAACGAGCTTCAGATGTTCCAAGGTGTGCGTTCCGAATTCTCCGCCACGATATCCAAACAGAAATTGTCAAAAATTTGTCGAAATTTGTCAAAATCGAAGGGAATAAACCAAAAAATTGACAAAGTAGAAATAAAGAAGTTATAAGGATTTTAAGTTAGCCGCGTGAAAGAAAAGTGAAGGATTGCGCGCCCACGGAGATCTTAGCATCTACTTAAGTTAGAGATCTAATTCTTTTTGTCAATTGAAGACTAAATTTGTCGAAAAAAGAATTATAAGCTTTAGAATTTAGAATTATAGACCAATATGTTACGATATATTCACCTTAAAAGTTATGGCCGCGCAATCTTACACTTTTTTCTTTATTGTTGATTATTTCTTTAAAAATGGGACTTATACAGTAAAACTGTTACAAAAAGTCTTAATTTGTCAAAACGAATGAAAGCAAATTATACTACCAAAGTTTAGTTAAAGTGTAGTCAGTTAATGCAAAGGGATATTATTAGTGTCCCTGTGCTTTAACTAACTACACACAGGGACACTAACAGGCACACTATTAATAATTCGGATCGATTTCAACACTAGGTTGTTAAAAAAACAAATAACAAATTTCTAAACTGAAGAAGAACTGTTAATTTATACAAAACGTTCCAGAGCATCAAATGTCGAAATAATTTCATAGTTAAAGCATTATTATCTTCTGCTTTATTTACACCAATGAATTTTCGGTCTTGAATTAAAAAAACTACAATTTATTTCAAATGGTCCAGTTAAATATGGGTAAAAATGCAATATGAATGAAAACTGAATCAGACCAGTGGTAATTGTGGTAAAGGTCTGATCCGGAAACACTGGTTTATTTACAAATACCTAACTTGTCAAGTTGTTTGTTAAATAATAAATTATCACAGCAATGGCACGTAATAGTAACGAGAACGGTGATGATAATATTGATCCCGCATCAGTGACTTCAAACGTGAAAAGCTCTATAAAACAGGTACATTATCACAATTAAATGTAAAGTATTTTTAATCGTTTAGGTAGGTAATGATGTTAGCAATTATCTTTCTTATAAAAGATCTTTGAATTACTTAGTTTTATATGAGGTAGGTAAATAATTAATAGAGTTCCAAAACTATCGTTCCCACCCTACCAATATATTTAATATTACATAAAAGATTTGTAAGTATACCAATAAAATTACACAGTGGTCTTATCATCATTTCATCTTATATTCATCTGTAACTATATTTTCAGGAAGTAATAAAAGAGCTTCTGAATGGTTCATTCCAAGACAACAAAACAAAATTAGGTAATGATGCCTTGTCTTTGGTTGTGGAAGTGGCTAAGTGTTTAGTCACAGAAACCTGTCTACGGGCTTCCACTCAAGCTCTACGTGAAAGTTGTGACATAGTTGATATCGAACATATTGAGAAGTGCCTACCACAACTGGTAAGTGTGTTATTATTATGCATTTCTTTAATAGTTAGCTTAAATTTGCCATTCGAAATAGAATGAAATATTTTCTAGAGAATAATAAATGATTATGTTTTGGCTAAATGGATATACCTACCATTTAGAAATTTTCAAGACAAATAAAAGGAACCTATCTAAGACTTCTTACGTTAAGGAGCTTCTAACTAAACTAGCCTAACTAGATAACAAAACTAGGTTGGTTTCGGCTTTAACTATACTATGATATGGCAAATTTTCAGTTCTGTAGAAAGACTGTTGTCGAACATTTTAGAGCTCCAACTACCCATAACTATTGCCATAGATGTTCATATGGCAACCAGGACCGACAGCTTAACCTGCTCTCTGAGGCGTGAATGTCTCCAGTCTGAATGTATTAAGAAATGGTCACCCATCCATAGAGTGACTTGCCTAGGATTATTTAACTTTGAAATGTGTTAACCTACTCTACTACGATTAATCATAATAGTCAACCTGTCGGTTCATTTATTTGATTCCAACCCTCATTTAGAACGAAAAAATTAACCTTTTTTAAGAACCTAAACCAACATGAACAATAGAGAAAAGATAGCGGATATGGGAATTATATCTCGTTTTGTCATGACTATTTTTGTTTTACAGATGCTGGATTTCCCTTAAAGGTGTAGAAACATGATTTTGTTCAAAATGATGTACCTAAGTGACATTAACAGTATCAGCATTACAGCTACTTAGACCATTGCTCAATTTGATAAGATCAGCTGTCACATGCCTACATACCTCCTACCCGTAAATATAAAAATATTTTAAGTGATTCAGTAGATCAAAATTGTTAATGAGACATATTAGGACCATATAATGTTGTACTGTAGTTCCATATACTTGTGAAATTCCAAGAGCAATAAAGATATTTACAATTTGGTGTTATTAATTTGTGAGTTTCTTATTCTTAGGAAATAGAGTACAATCTATTATAATGAAATTGTTTTCTTATTTTTTTAAAACAGTAGAAATTTGTTCACTGGTTTTCATGTTTTGTGTAACTTTTTTGAAATGATTTTAATCATTTCTTGTATTACTTATTTTCATTTATTTTAAACATAAAACAATATTTTGTGCTAAAACAGTGCTATTTGCACTTTGTTTTAAAAAAATACATAAATTAACTCCACTTTTTTCGCTTACTAGTGATGCTTGTCATAAAAGGCTTTAATTTCTCTAAACGATTTTATCGTCGAAGGTTCGCAAGGGCAGCCTGAAATGCAAATCAATGCTGAAATGTAGAGCTAGTTGTAGTCGACGTCGACGAAACAAACGGGTCTAGTGGTTAGCGATCCTGACTGCTAAACCAGAGGTCGTGGGTTCGATTCCCGACCAGGATAAATAAAAATGTGATGAGTACCATCATTTGTTGTGTCTGGGTGTATTCCAAACTTATAAATGTGAAAGCAAGTTTTTGTTTTTTTGTTACGCTTGCCGCCTAAATCGCTAAACCGATTTAAAAATCTTTCATAAATGGAAAGCTACATTATCAGTGAGTTAGGCTGCTTTTTAGTGATAACCCACATACAAGTTAGTTTATTTATAATTGTGTAAGCAGTCCGAAATATTTAAGTATGATTCAGCAGTCTGGTTAGCATAGTACATAGGCTATGTCTAATTGGGGATCGGACGGCCGTGTGTGAGGATAAAAAACAATCCTGACTGGTACCAATGCCTTACTAACGAGCTCAGCTGACTCGGAGTAAGGCAGTAGTGGATGGCCTAGGGCGATTGTAGGTGTGCATTTCTGTCGTAGCTTCGTCTTTCGTAGCTTCTCCTCATTCTCCAAATGGTGGCTTCAGTGAAGGAAAATACGATGTGTGAACCTAAGATGCTGCCGGTGACAGTACAGATGGTTATGTCTTTCGGATGATGGATGTACGTTTGGCGAAACACATATATTACAATGAGGTTAAGAACGGCAAGTCCGGACCAGCTGAAGACTTTTCAACTATGAATCCAAAGATCATCTTATTAAAAACTCGTAAAGCCTACACGAGTACTCGTCAAATTAATTATTAACACATAATGTTCTAATAAATGATGAATTAGAGGCCTTGGTGAAACACGGTCTTATGTTACGTAGGTACTTATCGGTTCCTATGAAGACTAAAAATAGCGTCACTGCTAGAATTATACTTCCTCCCATCGACATTAATAACCACGAACAACACGAAAAAAATTATTATGGAATGCTTGTCTGACATGTTAGCGGTGTCTACTCGTGACTAACGTAAACTCAATTTTGAATAAATTCGCATTACCGTAAACCTAGGCTTGCAATACATATTTCCAATTGTATATTTTTGTTTTTAGCAAGCAAAACATAGCAGTTTTTAACTAGTACTACTAGTAACTACTTGTACATAAAAAAATGAGTTAAAAAAATCACCTTTCGTATCAATTCGAATTAATTACCTCTCAAACTAAATTGAGTTAGTCTCCTAGATAGTAACTAAATTTATTAAAGTCCTCAGATGGGTAAAACGCAAAATCAAGGAGAAAGGAAAATACTAAAATGTAGTTTCTTTACAAATTTTATTATACAAATTATTTTTGAGAGTCTGTTTCTATAACACCCAGATAACTATACAAATTACAACTTCACAACACTCCAAAAAGCATCTCATCATTGTATAAAAGACAGTCGGTACACACTTGAATACATCAACCGCACGCACACACCTACTCGATATTTGGCGATACATACATATTTATAACACAATCCTTATACATATACACACAATTGTGGTCAACAGGTAGACCATTAACTTTAACATCTCCAATGCCTTTAATATGCTTTCAATATTATGAACCCTTTGTGAAGTGTTTCTGGGAATTATCATCACCGAATGCTTAAGCAATGGTTTAAAAAAACGTAATGACATTTTTGCCGCCATACATTTAGTATACATTCCATAATTCGGCGATATTGTGTTCCGAATAAATACATTTTTGTGAATATACCTCTCGGTATGTTTGTCATTCTATTTAATGACCATGCTCGACATATTGAACTTATTAACTTATATTTCTACCATGCCAAAATAAACAGCAAACCACGTTTAGTGTCGTTCTATCATTTTAGTAACGATTACTTTCGCAAATCTAGTTTACAGTTTGGTATACAGTAAATCAATGATTGTCCAGATCCCAGATTCTAATGTGCTGAAGCTATTATTGTCTTCTACACCTACAGCTATTATACAGTCTAAGTTATTAAACATAGACAACGGGTTAACTTTAGTAACAAAAATAATTTTATAGGCGGACATGAACACCATAACGCCCAGTTCTTATACATACATTATTTTACTTAAAAGTTGTTATCATCAATCGATATACAAAATATTCTAAAATGTAGTATTTTTTATACACACAACAAGCAATTCCTTTTAGTTTTTGAGATCAAAAATGATTCGACCAATTTTATATTTTATTATAAATAGAATCATACACGTGCTTTTATTTGATAAGGTGTAATTATGTTTGCTAGTGATTGTGATGCTTTGTTTTTAATATACAGAAAGAACATACGGCTAAGAGGGTCCATAATTGAAGTCAAGTCCCCTGGAACTAAGTACACCTCGCTAGTTGAATGCAGTCGGGGTTTAAGGTGAAGGGCGAGAGCTTCGTCTCGAAGGCCCCAAACCTCGTCCCGCACACCTGCACACAACACATTCCTCACCTCTGACATTTGTATACCCTTTGAATAATACAAAAACAGTTGACACGATACCTATATCCAAGGCGACGCTAAAAAAAAAACGAACGCTAAAAAACGATCATGAACTTGTCTAAAATTTGCATTTAATCAAAGGATCATACATATTATTACATTTTAATCTGATTTTTGCATGATAGGATTGGGACGGGACGACGAGGAGTGGGACGATTTTCCACACTTTATTTAATTTTCGACTCAGTGAGCTTGTTATGTTAGTAACTTCCCAAATATGTTGATATTTATTTTATGCTTACATGACTTAATTGGTGAAGATGGGACAAGTTATTGTAAACGGTACTTAATTGTCTCCCAGTGAATGAAAAATAGAAATGAATCTTGTATTGCACAGTCTTAAAATCGATTCTAGATTAAGTCAAAGCTTTAATGATCCTCACAGAGCACAAAAATAAAAGCATAGCGTACATTATTTTACTGCTAACTTGTACTGAGTACCACATCTATGGGATCATTCAACTACAAGCGTAGTCAACATAATTAAATATAGCATTCTTGTGAAGTTTTGAAAATGCACCAATATATTGATTTCTACTTTATACAGCTAATTTGCCAAGAGCAATATACATTGTGATTAAAGTGATATAAAACATTACAACTATGCAGAGGAAGTAGTACTCGTTTAGTTTCCGAAAATAAGTGATATATAAGACAGCACCAATAATAACTAAGCACTTATATTTAAATCAATAATTTGAAAGAAATGTAACGGTTAAAAAACGTATTATAAAAAGAAACAATATAGTAAGTAATGACTATATTAATTGTAGCCACACTAAAAATTAACAGTCTATAATAACTTGAATTTCGAAACCCTTTCTTCCTCTATTCCTTTTTCCTTTAGTATACCTTTCTTCATTCCTTTTTGTTAAATCCGCTTAAATAATAATATATCAATGTTACTAGTGGTAGTTTATTAATCATCTTAAAGGTTCACACTCTTTTTAAGCTTCCCTCCATAGTTACAACAACACTCACAACAACTCATGACAACCATGATTTAAGCGTATTTGACAAAATACGTGTAAATATCACAATAAATTATATAATAAATAAAAATATTATCGAACATCTGACACACAACGCCATCTAGTTTCAAACTAAGCAGAGCTTGTACTATGAAAGCTAGATTGACTAATAGTATGCTTATTTTCTTTTTTTTATGTAAATACATACATACATACATAGCCAACATCCAAACTCCGAAACAAATATTTACAGATCATACAAACATTTGGTCCGACCCGGGAATCTAACCCAAAACCACGTTACAGCAGTAGCATACGCTACCACTGCGCCACCGTCATATTAGCCTTGATAATGAAATAATTTGTTATAAGTATACTTCGACTTGCATATACAATGAAAAACATACCCAAATGCCATCCAACGAAGACACAGCGAATTACGGAGTAACAGTAACTGCTAATCCTACATCGCGTAATCAAAGTTCTCGCGCGTTATCGTAGTACACACATATGTATACAACCTGCCAACGTTCACCGTAGGGTCGCGGCCAGCAGGGCCTATCCCTGCGCTTCGTCAGAGGATCCTCCCTCTACCTTGGAGGGACGTGACACCTCCACTCGTGTCTTAGATGGTATTAAGTGTGTTTTTCGCTGTATATGAAAGTCGCCACAGAACAACAATAATTGCAAACTGGACTCGTAGTACTTTAGCAATTTGTTGAACTGTTTAAAGTTAATGTTACATTAAATAATAGACATGGGAAACAATCAGTGAACTGTGAAAGACCGGTGATTTACAATTCGATCTTATCGTACGTAGGTTACTACTTACTCACGCGTTATTGCCAATAAGCTGTTTTCAGACGATGCATAAAGACCCTATTTCACCTATTTAACAGTAAATCTAGTAATTATTTTATTACATATAGCTACCATTCCCTACATAATAAATAAGAAAAAACTTGATTTACTGTTAAATACCGTCTAACCTACTTACCTAGCAACCATAACCTACGTACGCAAAAATCGAATGACAAATCACAGTTGACTGTATTTCGTCCCATGTCTATTATATATGTTACATCATTCTATGATAAGTTAATACAAAAGTTCATACTTGTTGGGAGATCTTGTGAGATAAAACAAGAAAATAAAAACTCAAGACTTTCGACGAATGTCTTGAGTTTTTATTTTTTTACAAAATTACTATATTTTTTTTCCTTTTTACATATAGTAAATACATATTTCACAACCAAGGTGACATTCCTTGTCACTAACCAGACAGTGCCTGCACCCTAAATAGACCTACCCACGTCTTACCAGAGAGGCGTAAGCTCTTCTTTGACTAACCAAAAAGGAAATTAGTACCTATTAAAATTTGGCGTATAGGAAAAGGAATTGGTTATCTTATTATCGTCTAGGTCTTGTTGGACAAAAAGTGTACATGTTTAACCATTTGGCTATAAAAAAAAAGGTTACACAAGTATGCTCTATGGTATCGAAGTTTTAATTACTAACTAGATCTTTATTGGCGAAAAGTTTACAAAATATATGCTTTTACACAAATATTTTTCATATAGGAATATTTTATACAATTTTACACACGACTTGGTATATTTAAATACCTATTGAAGTTCTTATATAAGTTAAGGTATATTCGCCCTGAATTTTTCTTGATATCTATACTTAAGGCTAACTTTGTATTTGTAATTAGGAAGGAAACTTTGTCTTCGTTTAAACGTAACCTACTGTGTTACTGTGAAACATTTGTTTACATTTAAGATTTATAAACACTTTCTTTTCTGCAAGCGCGATCTGTGGTCGTTATAAAGAACAAAAATAATATTTAAAATACCGAATAAGAAATCCCTCAAGATCTCTCTGTCTCCTGTCCTCATTGCAAGATAATATTCGTTTAGTAATGGGCAATCACCTTAAATACAAATTGACATAATGGAGGTACGTTTTAAGTTTTGACGTTAAAAGCTCCAATGACAAAATTAACCTATAAGATATGTGTAGAAGATGAAACTGATGAAACATCTCAGTTATTTTCTATTTAATAGAAGCTGCCTATTGCACATGATTTTATTAGGTAAGAGGCAAGGCAACTCAGATAAAAATATGTACGAAAAAATGACGATTGTCTGGCCGTGCATTGAAAACGTAAATCAAAACTTTGCACAAATAGGTCTGGTCATGCATTGAAAAAAGTGAAACTTTGCACAAATAGTTGTGGACTTATTAAAAACAAATTAAAAACCAAAACATATATTATTATTGTTTTATGTTTCGCAAAAGTACAACCGACAGTTACATTAAACTTTTCTGTGTCAAACGCGGCCCGCTTTCGAGACGGGGGCAAAATGCGGGAAGGATACAACAATCGAATAAGATGATGACTACCTATTGTCGCACTGCACCAAGCGTGCCAAAAACCAGTTTTTACGTTTCTTCAATTCGGCGCAAATAAATTAAACGATATCTATATTATCAGTAATAAAAGTCATAAGAAATACATCTTAATAAGCAGCCTAACTAAATACTCGTAATGCGATAATGTATGTATATAGTTAAGACTTATAAAAAAGATTTAGCATTTAAGCGTACAATTAAATATTCCATGTATCATCATATTTCAACCTCTCAGAAAAGCCTGCAGAAAAGGGTAAAAAAGTAGATAGGTTATGCACCTTCAACCAATAACATTGTTTTATTTGTCACTTCAGTCATTAATTGATCCTATCTACTCTAGTGCTGCAATGTTTCCTCTCCTTACTCCGTATAGTCAGTCCTTTGAGTCGCCCCAAAAACCTACTAAAATCTGTATGACGAGTAATGTACGCATGTCACAGTACGTTCCTCGTTCCTAACATTTGGGGTGTGTGTGGCTACAACATAACAATAATATTTTAGATGTAATAAACTGTTATTTAGTAGTCTATATTATTTTCACACTATACTAAATCGTAATAGTTATATAATAGTTACAACGCTTCGCGTTCTACTTCCCATATAATATTAGTTGATTATGATCTTAAAGATCGGATTTTTAGAATATATAGGTCCGATACGAGTTTATTTGAACTTGCAAAATAATTAGTAAACGGAGCATTAGAGTAATATACCTATATATAACATGGAGGAAGGTAGTTTTTTTAATTTGTCCTTGAAGTGGTTCTTTATTCATCAAAAATTCCAACAACGATGAATCAAACCTTTTTGGACTTAAATCCCAGGCAATAATACTTTAAATAAGAAAGAGAACTGATTTTTAAACACCAGCAATTTTAAAAAAACATTGTTTCAGTTTTTGGTTAAAATGAGTACCTGTGCAGAACATTATTGGTGTTCATGCTCAATAAAGAAAACTGGTCTGCATTATTGGCACACGAAAGTCGCCTACTATTGCTTTTGGAACATGTAGAAAGAGTATTATTTAATTCAATAGGGAGTGATCGTTGGGTTGAACCCACTAAATGAATTATTCATCAGATTTTTTGAGGAAGGAAGAATGGGATGAACTTAAGGTCTGAAAGATACTGACATGGCAGCGCATCAAAAAATAACCAATGAGAATATCTACTAAACATAAATTACCTTTAGATTTCCTCTCAAATGTTGGAGTTTAATTTATATTTTAACTAAATCTTACTGGTGCTGCTCTTACATCTGAGTAATTTGATCCATATTAGACTTCAGGTTTCTGATCCAGAATTAAAATTCAACACCCATACAAATAGTAGACAGACATCTTTGAGGTTTTGCAAGCAGTACAGCAGTTTGGGTGAATCAACAGCAATGTGATTCAGACCACTGAGATATACTATGGTGTTGTATACCCTTCAATATAATAATTCCAATAATATTTATATATGTGTGTGCACTCACAACTTAAATTTACATATACTTAATAACCACTTAATGATTGTAATAGTGTTAAAATTGGCAGTTTTACAAACATACTTAGGCTAATACAGATAATTTATAATAAAAACTGCCATAGGTTAATGTGAAACATTCTCATCGTAATATTTTGGTTAAACAATGAATTGTGTTTTTTTACCAGTAATCTTATTCTCTGCATTCTTATGTGACATGAACTAAGTAGGCATATATAAAAATCTTTTGTGGATTTTCACACAATTTTCACAACTTATTTTTAAATGAAGATAAGTGTATTCAATTATGTGTCCAAGTTTTATCAACAACAATTGTATTACCTTTACAGTTCTAATAACCCTACGGTTTATATAATTGAAATCACTCTTGCCCTTACGAGTAATATATAAAACGATTAAAGGAGGCAAGGAGCACCAGGGAACGTCCCAACCGGGCGCGGACGAGAACGCCTTCTCGAAGCCGGGTAACCCGTAACCGGGGTAAGTTACCTTCGAAAGCAGCACATTCGCGAAGCGGGTGCACGTAGGAAGGCGGATTTAAAACATGTCCATGTCATCGTTGCACATGACCTCGAGGAAGTCGTCGTCGTCGTAGTCCTGCAGGCGACGCGGGTCGGTCGCGTCGGTCCGGTCGGGCAGCGCAGGCGATGCGGCCGCTTCGCCCGGCGACTGCGCGTCCGTATCGCTCGAGCACTCGCGCGCGTCCGTCGCCGGCGACGGCGGCGGGTTCGAGCCGTGCTCCGACTGCACCGTCGCCTCGCCGCGTGATAGTAACGAGGGAAGCTCCGAATCTGAAATTTTAGACATTCATAAAAATTAGGACTACTACATACTACTGATACTAATAACATAAAGTCAAAAACGCATGCAACCAAAAAAAGGAACGGGTCGAGGTTTTTTTATATTCTGACATAACACTAACAAGCAAAGCAATAATCACAAACTAGAGTAAAATTGCAGGGAACAGTAGTAGTATCATTACATCGGTCCATGTGAAAAATATTATTACTGTAGTTACTCTATAGTTCGGTATGTGTGTCGTTAACAGATAGACAGTCATACAAAACAAACAAATTAGCATAGGAATCTTATATATCAATATCACAGACAGATACTTTAATGTTATTTATAATGTATATATCAAAACGATCTAACTTGACACTAACAAAAAACACAATCTCTCGAATTAAGTCAAGCATTTGTGTGCATGAACATTTAATGTTTGATTTGGTCTGGGTGTTTTTATGTATAATATGTATGTATTTACAAAAAAAAAAGTATATATGTATTTATATCAGTTGTCTAGTACCCATAGTACAAACTCTGCTTAGTTTGGGACTAGATGGCGTTGTGTGAATGTGGTAGAATATTATTATTATTATTAATTTACATACAAACTGGAACTAATTTTACTGTTATTTTTTTTTACCAGAGAACTCTAAACATTTGCTGATCAAACATAGGCTTTTAGGCCGAAAATTCCGAAAAAGTCTGATGGTGTAATCTTTTGCAGTTAAGCCCAAATGAACAGACAGAAAACAGTTTTAAACGCGTGTTAGCATATGCAAACAACCAGACCTTAGCCGCCATAGGTAGCATAGAAAGAAAACCAATATTTTTTTCAAAATTTTATCGAATTGTGCATTAGTGTTTTAGTGGTTCACCAAACCAGTGATTATCATGATCATCATGACCATCAAAAGATGATAATTTAAAAATTAACTAATAAACCAACCTGTGAGACTTTGTTTTAGCTGTTCCATGACCTTCTGACGACTTTTGGCACGTGCTCTCTTCACCTTACGTATTGTCTCTTTCTTATCCTCATTGAATATCTGACTGATCGTTTCCTGTGACACATCTTCATCTCGCTTTAGAAGGTAGAAATATATACCGCCTGGTGTCCGACGTCGGGTACCATTCTAGTTATATTGAATATAATTTCCATGACTTAGTAATTAAAAAAGTAAAGGGTTACTTAGATGAAATAAACATTATCACATTCTTGAAAATGAAGGAGATTCTCAAGGGATTCTTCTTTAACTTATTATACATATAAGGATACTTTAGAGAACGTAGATATATAGAAAGGTAGGAGACTGGCGATATACAATGTGCTGCCATCTGATTGGAATTGTAAAACATTACTATAATTTAGAAGCTTATTATTATTTTTATCTTAATAAGATGAAAAAGTTTATTTAAGGTTCTGTAAATGTACCATAATTATTTAAAATATATAATTTTCAGAAGCAAAAAAAATCATACTAAACGCAATAAAATTAATAAAATTGAACTGACCATAACAAGCATGCCTCCATCAGCTTCAATTCCTTGTGTTTCTTTGTATATGTCTATAGCCTTTTGCGCACCTAGTGCCTGTACAATTTGACCTAAAAATGAATGTTATCAATTTTAAAGTTGTTTTTACTTAAAATGTTTTGCTTTCAAAAGTAAAAAATCCCAGGAATTTCCTTGTGTGGAGGGTGAAATAAAACAAGAAGCCTTTCCCCAAGCGTCTGCTCGCAGTGAACACAGGCACCATATGCAGTTAACTTTCTTACTATGCAGTTTCCAGGCACACATGAACGTATCACACATTCGTGACTGGAAATTAAGATACCTGCATAATCCTCGAGCATGTAGCCTCCCCTCGACACTGTGTTTTGTAACTCTCTGAGCAGAAGAGGCAGATGCTGTTTTGTATGGTTAGCCACAGCTCATGACTGCAAAAGCTGTTGTATTGCTGTGTCTTAGTGATACTATGACAGTGAAGGTTTGGCAATAGCACCTAGGGGGCATCCATTAATTACGTCACACGTTTGAGGAGGGGGGGGGAAGGTATTGACGGAATGTAACATTGAGTGACAAGGGGCAGGGGGGGGTTAAAAGCTTGGTGACATCATATGTTAAAATTTAAAATATTAACATGCGAAATTTATATGTGAATTAAAAACTTTAGTATTCGTAGGAAGTGATGACAACGAGGCTAAGCTTGTTCCATTATTACTAAATCTACGAGCAGCATTCCATTTGAAACAAGATTCATATGATAGTTATTGCCCTAGTGTCGAGTCATACATATTTAAAAGATCATATGTGGTCTATATTTTTCTGCATATAAAGCCGCTAATCATTATAAGCAATCGCATTAAAAACAAGAGATGTTACACTGTACTTATTGCAAATATTCGTCCTGAAAGAATCGCGGCTAGACATACCCGAGAAATTCTTTATTTAATGAATGATGATGATGCTTTATAGATGAAAGATAACTATTTCGACACAAAGGATGTTCCTGACGTTCAAATTCAGAAAGATAATGAAGTCCCTTATATGCCAGTAATAGCTAATATGAAGGAGTGGGTCCAAAGTCCATGAACACTAGATGATTAAGTTTTGTATCTTCAATTAACACAATTAGTTGTTTATTGTTTCCTAACTAGTCATTTGTTGTCTCTGTTATCTAAAATATCGGACTTTGTGTTGATTTTTTTAAAAACTAGCCATCCTCTCCGGCTTTGCACGGGTACAATGTAGATACTACTAATACTGCCAGTGTGGAGTAATTAATTATACTATTATTTTGATAGGAATATACTACAGGACATCTTTAAATGCAATCTTTATACGCCTGCTCCGATGCTGCCGGCCGCTACCCCCCAGGACGGACGTTAGGGTATCCCGATTTTTTTTAATTCTTATTTTAGCTACTTAAGACCTCTCAAAAGTTGCGCTGTTAGACGTAGATTAGCGTAAAAATAATTCAAAAAATATTTAAAAATATCCTTAGGGCTCTACCAGCATTTTTATTTACAGAAATTTCGCAAAAACAACCTTGTAGTCAATGTCGTATATTCTAGGTTTTATGAATCAATCCTGTTTTGTCTTGTAATTTTATCAATAAGAAAAGCCTCGGCTATGATTTGCAAGTATCGACAGGTTGTTTTAGCGATCAATCGGTTTGGATCGGACTTGCAAAATTCCTACAAAATTCATGTTTTGACTTGATTTTCGTACGTGCGCTACTTCTACAACAAGACAGTTCGTCTCATTTCTATTTCGATTTTACTCTTGTAAGGAGTTGTTCTATTCTTCTTTGAAAGAAAAACGTAATTTGCGTTACTTAATCATAAAAATGTGTTCAAGGCGAAGAAGTGAGACTACTTGTACTATATTGGGACCTTATAAAGAACTTGACGATCGCCAATTACCTAAGACGTTATTAAGTGCATTTTATTTACTAAAAGTGAATTAAAACTACAGAAAAACGGAAAAGATCCATCTAACACAGAAGTCTTTTCAATAGTTTCTGGAAAACTTAACACAATTTGGACCAAAGCTTCAATTCCCATCGTTTCTAACGTACGGGTTACTCAACTGCTAACCGCATATTTTAACAAATATTTATCACTAATAAGATATCCTAAAAGTAAGAGAAACGATAGCTATGACAACAAAGTTAAGTGCTTTTTGGAATCGTCAAATAAGCTTTTTGACATCGCTGCTTGTAAGTGCACTTCGTTTGAAAATTGTTCCTGCACTAAACCCAAGAAAGTTCCCATTTCTGAAAGAGATTTTTTACTGGACCAAAGAAATGATAGGAAAATGGCAATAAGCGGCGTAGACGCAAAAGAAACTGCAAGGCTTTTAAAGAAACATCAAAGACAAGAAAATTTGAAGCGGACAGAGCAAGCATGTTTTCCGAGTACTTCACAAACCGATACTGTACCGGTACGCGTGTTGCATTTTGATACAGTCGTTCACAGTCCTCGTTCACAGTCGCTTTCAATAGAACCTTCTACTAAAAGTGACTTAAAGGAGTCTCCATCTAATTCATTTAGTCGGAACACTCTGACGCTGCCAACAGTAGCTAAGGTATGTGATCGATACGGACTATCAACGCGTTCGGCAGCTGCAGTCGCTTCAGCAGTCTTAGTTGACGTAGGAATGGTATCTTCCGAAGATCTAAACCTTGTGATTGATAAAAATAAGATTCACAGAGCTGTTTCAAAGTCAAGTACCCAAGCCAGCAAAGACATCGATAAAATTATTATAAAGAGTATCTACTTCGATGGGCGAAAAGATAAAACTCTCAAGATCAATAAAATAGACAGCCGGTACCACCGAAAAGAAGTCTTAGAAGAACACATTTCAGTTCTTACAGAGCCGGGATCTATTTACTTGGGACATACGACGCCGAGTCGAGGTACTGCGAAAGGGATTGTCACTTCTATTATAGAATTGTTAGAAGATCAAGGATGGAACTTAGAAGAAGTAAGTTGTGTGGGTTGCGATGGCACTCCTACAAATACAGGTTGGAAAGGAGGTGTCATTAAATACCTGGAAGACTATTTGAAGAGACCGTTACAATGGTGTGTTTGTATGCTTCACACAAATGAATTACCGCTTCGCCATTTGTTTATGTCTCTAGATGGTTGCACATCTGGGCCGAAAGAATACTCAGGACCTATTGGAAAACAGCTAAATGTTTGTGAAAGTAAACCACTAGTGTCTTTTTGTGCAGTGGCTGGCAATTTGCTCGAATTACCTGATGACATTGTGAAGGAACTAAGTACGGATCAAATGTATCTGTATGAAATGTGTCATGCTGTGACGACTGGTTCTTGTTCCCCTGAGTTAGCGAGCCGCCAACCTGGAAAAATGGCGCATTCAAGATGGCTAACTACTGCCAATCGCATACTCAGACTTTATGTAAGTACTGTTTCGCCATCAAATAATTTAAAGCTGATTGTCAATTATGTGGTCAAAGTTTATGCTCCAGTTTGGTTCCTCATTAAGAAAAACTCATCATTCAAAGATGGAGCCAATCATATTTTTCAAATGGTTACATACTCCCGATTTTTGCCTGATAAGCAAAGATCTATTGTGAATGTAGTGATCGAGAGAAACGCTTTTTTTGCTCACCCTGAAAACTTACTTGTTACCATGCTATTCGACGACAGAGAGCATATTCGAGAGCTTGCAGCTCGCAAAATATTAAAGGCAAGAGAAGCAGAAATAAGCAATACTCGCAGGGTATTTAAAGTACCAAAACTTAACTTCGATGCGCGATATTACATCGATTTGATATTTTTGCAAGAGTGTGAGATATCCGCTCCACCGATTTTGCGACAGATGTCCGACGACGAACTGAGAATTAAGGCTAAAGAACAAAGCTTCGATGTTATTGATTTCCCCTGTCATACACAATCAGTGGAAAGATGTGTAAAGCTAGTGACGGAGGCTTCTCTAAGTGTCACGGACGCTACAGCTCGGGATGGTTTAATCAGAAACAGATTAAAATCTCGCGCGGAAATGCCTAATTTTGGCCACAAGAACCAATTTCGTATTTGAAATAAGCACTAATTATAAGTATTTAAACTTTACTGAACATTACCTTATGTCTTTGTAGTACCTATAAATTTGATTAAAACCTTTAAAACATTATTTTTGTATCATTTATAGTTTATGTTCGAAACCTCTAAAAATGGCAAATTTGAAAAACTTCTAGGATCGGTAGAGGCCTAAAGATGACAAATATTAAATTAAATTTTCTATTATTTGTAATCTATTCACAAAAACGCAACTTTTGATACCTCTTGCGTAGCCGTCGCTTTAAAAAAAAAAATCCCATACATTGACGGGACACCCTAACGGACGTACGGCTCGACATTCGTTGGGACCCTGCATTTTACTACTATATTCTATACAACCCCTAATATCTTCTAAAATATTCATTTTAATGATATGCTATAAAGAGCAATGTTAATCTACATTAAATGCACATATCTAACGTATTTAATTGATTTAATTGGATAAGGAACAATAATGTATTGTTTGAAATAGCTTCGCAAATAACTCATAATTTTTTTATAATATTTAAAAGACATAAATGGTTACTGTGAGTTATACTTAGGAGATAGACATATACCGCAGACTTTTTTTTAGATCTTTTTGTACGTTTTACAAATTCGTAGTGGCGTAGTACGTTATTTTGGACTGTTTCTTAAGGTTAAGCCAGCGTTTGCAATAGCTCACAAAAACATGTTTTTACGATAAATCTTTAAAATTGACGGATTTTCTCTACTATAATATGCATGTATTATACATATAAACCTTCTTTTTGAATCTCTCTCTATTGGTGAAAACCACATTAAAATCCGTTGCTTAGTTTAAAAGATTTACACAACATAAAAGCGTACAACATAAAAAGGGGACTTTATTTTATACTATGTAAAGATTATTTAATAAAAAATAAGAATAAAAATTTCATTTTATTTTAAATTACCTTTTCATTATTTTAAATACATGCATCAAATTGGAATGTGTGATATCATATCAGGGGTTCTAAAAATGTGCCAACCTGTGGCAAGGACGGTGGGAAGTGTTAAAAAGTCCTAAAATTCGTGTGACGTAATTTATGCATGGCCCCCTATGGGATATAAGAATATCCCTGTGTCTAATATAACTATATTCCAATGTGAAATAATTCTAAAAAAACATTGTTTTTAGTGAATGATAGTTTATGTATGCTTTCCTCCCCTCATAAAAGGAAATATATTGGCACCTACGTCGGTATATGTTCAATGCAAAATGACAATTTGTATTATTGGGCCATGTATTTTTTTTTTCTAGTATTATCTATATAATCTACATATTATTAATATGAGCAAAGTCAAAAGCTAGTTACCGGACTAACATTTACAGAGAACTATGGCCCCTTGAATATTAAGTTAAAAGCATTTTGAGTTACTTAGTATCCTTACATCCTTACCTATTAGATCCTTTTTCTCCTCTGAAAGGTTTTCTGCTATTTCTACAGCTATGTTCTCTGTTAAGTCATCAGCAGTCACTGTCAGGTCTGATAATATTCTTGGTTCCTGCTTCACACAACGATGATGACTATTTACTCTCTTATTCATTTTCAATTTTTTATTAGATCTATCAGCATGCCTTCTTTTATTTGATATACATTCACTATCCTTATAATCATCAGTTCTGGTAAAAACCTTCTTAGATATATAGTTATCATCTAGTCTATACTTAATGGTATAATCATAAGATTCAACGCCGTATCTACTTTTGCTTGTTACATCACAGCTAACCATATCCTCCGTTAACAAGTCCTCCTAAAACAATATAGACAGATTATAGGCATTTTTACATCACATATGGTAAATGACACATAAGCAGACCCAGGTCTACGATTTTTAACCGGGCCAGACACTTAAGTAGTGCCTCTCTCCAGCGTTTGAGATAAATTTCTTAAAAACTCACAAATAATTACACTTGTAGTGTGGGCCTGCGTGGTGCCTTCACAAGTTTATGGTGAGACAATCAGGCTTCCTTATGCTAGGTGGAGCAAGTTATTTTTAATCATCCTGTATTATGATTTAAAGCCCCTTTAAATGCCGCCCGGGGCGGGTGCCCCAGTTTACCCAGTTACAAGATCCGAAGCTGCACATAAGTTTCAGACTTTCTACATTCATTATAAGCATACCTGTAAGGCTTTGCACCAAATATTATATTTTTCCTTCTTAACTGGCTGAGAGTGAGTGGGTCTTTTAGGCCTCAGTTTAGTCCGTTTAGCACGCCTGCGAGGTTCTTCATCTGATTCGGACGCTGACGATTCTTGGGGCGTAGTCTCATCACTCTGTTCGTCTTGTATTTGCATATGAACTAATGACGGCGGATTAAATGCTTCTGGCCTCTCCAAAGGTATGTACGTACCCTCTTCTACGTCTGAATCTTCTAACTGCAATTTAGAAACTCTTTGTTAGTCCTTGTAAACTTAATACGCCCTTAAACGTCATTCGAGACTATTTGCGCAGTCAATTATTAATATTACAAATAAATTTATACATGTTACTGTCTATAAACAATTTAATTTACATGTAATTTAAAGTAGAATCATAAAGCATCCATAAATAAGATTAGAATTTGCGAAAAATTGACAGACCAAAAGTTCTTACTAACCTCTCCATCTTCGCGTTCATTTGGTCTTTCTAAGTCGAGTTCTCCTTCTGTTGTGGACATCATTATCAAGATTTTTCGAGGGTATGAAATAAAGAATCATAAAAATATTGTAACGAAATACACTAATTCCGCCTTTCAATATTCACAGAAAGCTGTCATTTTTTTTTAAATATAGACAATTAAAATGTACTCTGTGATAGACAATGTAGAGGAGCATCTGTCCAATACAATCCAACATTAACATCGACTACAATTCTATTTATGACGTTAATTCAAATGTAAGCGACACTAGGGTGGATAAGAATATCCCAATAGAGACCTATAATAGAGAATTATAGAATACACACTGTTTAAACCACAGTGGTATCCGCTAACGGAGCCGGTAACGGTCTTTTGACGACACTCAATGGGTTTCTGTTGTTGTCATCTTTGTTTTAACAAATCGAAAGAAATTAGGGATTTAGTACATGACTGTCTTAGTTACTGGCGAAAATAAAAAGTAAATTTTCTGCATTTGACAAGTAAATTTAATACTTCTTAACTGTTTTCGAGGTTAATAGTTCTGATTAGTTTGAAAGCGGGCTCGTTTTATCATGAGAAAAGTTTATAATCGTTAAACATAGGGTAAGAGACTAAAGAGTATATAAACACTATGGTATGGTATGTGTGTATTGGAGTTTCAGACGGCTATCAAATCACATATTGAATAGATTCTTGTCATTTTAAATGTCAATTTTTGGACCAAAAGGGAGGGAACTTTAAAAATATATATCTGAATAAAACACATGATTTCATGGGGTACAAACTACAGAAATTCAGAGTGATGTGCTTGACGATCAAAACTACATCAAAAATTAGGCTAATTTATATTTGTTTCTTAGTATATAGAGTCCCAAATATTTGCCTGTGTATTGATATATCACAATCCACGTAAGCTAATTATGATTCATGTATTTTAACAAAGATAAGAACGCACTAAATATTTATACGTTGTGTAATAATTTATGTGACATTACACTACAAATTCACAAAGTATTTTCTTCCTCATCAGGCCCACTCTACCACTTTGGACTTGGGAATGTATTCATGAAAGATGTTTACCACAAAAAGCAGTACAAATAGCAAAATTACAGTCTTTAGAAACATGCAACATGTTATGCTCATCTATGCAGATATGGCCTCAACCCACAGGGTCTGTCAGTCTTTCCACAACAGCGGTTCCAGTTAGAGCCGATTCATTCCAATTACAGTTAGTAAGCGCGTTATCTAAATCAGTACATGAACATATACAAAATGCCTTTCAAATATTCCGCGAAGACTTAAGCACTATGGAAAGTAAAGTACGAGGGTTCGAAGAGTGGCGCAGTGTCACTGTCCGAATAGCCGTCAACTTCAGTGGAGATCCACGTATGCGTCTTGACACCGATGAAAGTTACAGTTTATCACTACGACCTTCACCGGAAAGTGCCTTATCCCTTACAGTGGAAATTGTAGCTCACTCATTTTGTGGCGCTCGACATGCATTGGAAACACTTCTGCAGTTAGTGTGGCTGGACACTTATATGGGATCACTACTTATGCTTGAAGCAGCGAAAGTTAATGATGCACCAAGATTTCGATATCGTGGATTATTAGTGGACACGGCGCGCAATTATTTCCCGATAAAAGAGCTAATACAAAATATTGATGCTATGGCGGCTTCGAAACTCAATACTTTCCATTGGCATATGAGTGATTCTCAAGCATTTCCTTTGCATATTAATAGTTTGCCACAGCTCGTTGAATCCGGAGCACATTCTTCTAGCGATGTATATACTATCGAAGAAATAAGAGATTTAGTGCGAAGAGCAAGATTACGAGGAATTCGAGTGTTAATAGAAATAGATTCACCAGCTCATGTTGGCCACGCCTGGAACTTTGGGCCATCAAAGGGTCTAGGTGACTTAATATACTGTCTCAATGATGAACCTTGGAAAAGGTATTGCAGCGAACCTCCCTGTGGACAGTTGAATCCACGAAATCCTCATGTTTATGACATATTGGCCCATCTTTACAAGGAAATCTTGCAAATAACTGGTGTAGATGATATAATACATTTAGGCGGTGATGACATGTCCGAACGATGTTGGAAAGAACATTTTTTCGACTCTGACCCATTTAATCTGTGGCTCGAATACACTTATTCAATTTTAGATCATTTAGAATCTGACATGATAAGGGGTAAGTTGCCTAATCTTACAATATTTTGGCTGTCCCCACTTACTGAACGATTTAAATCACATTTAAAAAAGCACATTCAGAACATAGGTATCCAAATTCGCTGCGTCGTGTGGTCTAATAAACACCTTAGTGGCATTCGTACAATAATGTCTCACGAAGACGCATGGGATTTGAACACTGGTTATGGCAAGTGGTACGAAGAAAGCAATGGTGCTCCTTATAACTCATGGCAACGCGTGTATGAACATCGACCGTGGCTAAAGCACTCTGCGGGTATTGTTGAAGGTGGTGAAGCTACAGTTTGGTCTTCCATACTGGCTGAAGGAAACCTAATGACGCGCATATGGCCCAGAGCTGCTGCACTAGCAGAACGCCTGTGGACGGATCGTCCGGAAGGTGCCACTCGCCCTGTACACGCAAGGCTGGATGTTCATCGATCTCGACTTGTTGCACGCGGTTATAAAGTACCACCGTTATGGTCAATGTGGTGTACACATAACACGTACACGTGCGTTTAAATTTAATATTAGTGTGTTATATTTTATATTTCAAAGTAAAAGTCTTACAGAAGAACATTGACTCATGATCATGATATACAATTTTGCACATGATGTATTTTTATTTATTTGATGAGCTATTTTTGGAGACTAGTTACAATTCACACTCAACAAACAGCATAGATGGACGTGGTCAATGATATCTGTTGAGTCATATTAAACTCTAATGTAGGACACAAAAATGCAACTTTAAACAAAACATGTTTTAGAATACCTTATAGCAGATTGCACTATGTTAGTTTTCTTACTGTTGTCTATTGGCTTTAATTTAATTAACAATATTATGTGGTCTAGTACTTTGGGCATCGATTAAAGAGACTAATGGTCTTTCCTCGAAAGCTTGCTTTGTCTAATTTGTCTTTTTGCTAGTGATGGATGTTTATGAAAGTATGAGATTCTCAAAAATTATAGTATTTTTTAAAGTAATACTCGTTTATGGATTCTACTGAAATAAAGCTCTTATGATACTTATTTCTTCTGTATTCGAATACAATTTCACTGTCACTAATAATAGCCTTAGGATGTAATTTTTTATAAATGAAACTGTATTTATAAAGGGAGTGATACCAGCTTTATTTAAGGTACGTGTTTGTATCATCTCATTACGATAGAAACGCATTACTAATTGCCAAAGGTTATAATAGAAGTTACAATATTTTTCATAGCTATCTGCGATTTTGATTATTCTGTGGCAACTCTGTGTATGAAAAATACTTTATGGTAGCAATATGCTATTTGATAACATTGAAAATATTCTTCAAATTATGGTCATCCTATTAGAAAATAAGATAGAAAAGCATAATTTACTTAATTTCACGCTAATTGGTGTAAATTTTTAAGCAAATTCAGCGATTTTTTTTATTTTTATTTAAATTTAATGAAAATCGTTGGAGCCGTTACCGAATTGCTCGTTAAAAAGTATTAGATAATATATTCAATATTTGTTTTTTTTTTAATAGCAACATTGTTAGAATCTTACATTAAAACTAAAAATACAACTACAACATCATTGAATAAAACACTCTTATACTTAGGTACTAAAAGTCCCAAATTACAATAATCCAATCAGAGAATTATTATTACTATAAAAATATGTATTTAAAAAAAAAAATAGTTTGAATATAAGTTTGTTTTCTAATTTTTGCACATTTGGCGTAAAACAAATAAAATGTACATAAACAAAACTTACAAATTAAACAAAGTGTACTTAAACAAATTATTTTACTTAGTTTCGAACAACACACAACATGTTCGGATATCATGTCATTTTCAAGTTGTAGGGATGTCCCTAGATATGTCAAACTGATTTCTAATCTAATTTATCTTATGCACTTATTATGTAGTGTAGAGGTAAAGAGTACCATCTTTGTGTATGAAAAGTGTCCGTCAAAATGCGGAAAATCGGGGCCCTACAGTAGCATCAGGGTAAATTTTAAAGAAAGCGCCAAAAGTCATTAGGGTAGAACAGAAAATGAATCATGGAACGAAAAACATTGTGTAAATTTTTTGTTGACTTAAAATAATTACACTGTGTACTAGACTGCGAAATCGGTAATAATAGGAGTTTTACAGACAAACAAACTTCACTCCGTCTATAACTGCTATGTTCTAGGCATTCCCTTTGGCTTCACTACCGCCATTCTAGTTGGGTTTTAGAACTATTATTTATTGCTTTTTGGTGGACACTTTATCGGTTTGCCGCCCGGCGCCCATACAAGATAGCGCTCCTTAACTCTACACTCCATGGCACATATAAATTGAATTCTTATTTTTTTTAAGGTACTTAATAACAATCAACTAACAGTTTCTCCCTATCACATAAAAGTTGTTTGGTCTGTGGTACAATTTTATTTGACGATCGTTTATTTAAACTGTGACCATTTCAGTCAGTGTTTCCCGTCCCGCGAACTTTTCGGTTTGTGCAACAATAAATAGTGTAATAACTTTGATTTATTGGTCATTTGATTTTTATTGTATCAAGTACTTAATATTATACAAAAAATATATAATTTTACATCCAGCAAGGTCTTTATTTTTTATTAATTTTAAAATAAAAGATAAGTGTTAGGTGACCCATTTGTTTTCTCATAGAACAGTTGCAATGCAATTCAAAGTCAAGTGTAGTGTAAGAAATTACACAAAGAAATCTAATTCGAATATAAATTATTAATGGCTTTTTATATTTATTAATGGATTTAGAGAAAATCAGGTTTTTTTAAACCTATACCCTAAAAATACGTTGTCTGTGTAAAGTCCGTTCACGGGACTCCACTACAGTTGTGTAGCTCCTGAGTGAGTGATATAAAAGATATATATCATTCACGACGATAAAATGTATCACTCACTTACACTAGCTCCGAATATATCAGTAACTCAGTACTAGCTCACTAGATCATTAGCTCAACGACGCCGATCTTTGTTTAATGAGCGAGTGAGACTTATGATAAATGAGTGAGATAGATGATGGTTGAGTGCACGCAAGTTTCTTTATGCAAAATGGGATCTATGGGATCAAAGTTTAATATTACTTAAGAATTAAGCCAAGAACAAGGAAAATTAAATCTAAATTATTTCTATTACACAACCTAAAAAAAAGTACAAGAAATAATTTCTTATTTTTAATTATTATATAAAAGGGTGTTAATACTTATGTAATCTTATCAAAATGAATAAAATTGTATTTTAAAAAAATAGGTTAAAAATCTAGTTTCAAAAACTGAATTTAGGTTAATATGAAAATAAAGAAAGGTTTGTATGGTGAGAGAGGCTTAAAGTGAGTGATATACGAGTATACTGAGCTAAACGATCTAGATGAAGAAATGAATTAATTGAGAGACCAATCAATTGAATCGGATCAATGAGCCGGTGAGCTAAACGAGTTAGTGAGCTGAATGAGCTAGTGAGTTAGATGAGTGATATATTTCTTTTGAGCGAAATGATACATTTCAATCGTTTCAGCTCAGTGATATATTTTGCGCATCACTAGACTCCACAGACATGAATAATTTACATTTTGACATGACACTGACGAGAGGTTAATGTTATATCATTTAAAATGCATTTGGTTTTTTTTCTTTTCAACATAGGTTGTATGCTGTGTCCTTTACAAAATAAACTTTGCGATAGGTACAGCAATACTTAATTGTGTCTTGTTATGGTAATATATATTTAAAAAGTCATAAAACTAGGCATTAATTCGTTAAAGTTTAACGTATAAACCTTTATCCTTTAGAAGATTTACGTGCTGATGTAGTTTTTTTAGTCAAAGATATGGAAAGTCATGAGCCTTCACTGTTTGACCTTCTGCTGACCTCTGATCCGTACGGCTATAAAGTCAACGTTGGGGCCCCACTTGGCTCTTCGGATCGTCGCCTATCGATACGGGGTACGGTGCCACTCATGTGCTCGGTGCGGCCGCGAGTTGCAGGCTGCCGCCACGTTTGGCAGTATAGGTCAGCGGACTAGGGTGGAATGCGCTCTTTCTTTGCGTTCTACCCATGGAGGCGGGTTTGTTTCTTGCCGGATGATCTCAACGTCATTGCCGATTTTGTCACTGATATAGTGCTTCAGGGCATGGAACTATTTGTTCCATCTACACTCTATCCCATTGGTGGCAGATTCAAGCCTTAGTTCAACAGATCCTGCAAAACGGCGTGCTGCCGAGAGCAGGAAAGTTACCAAGTATGGGCCAATGCAGCGTCGAAAGGTGATGTAAACACCAGCAGGCTGAAAGCAATACAACTTTGCCTCCAGATCCCTCAAAAGAGCCATTACCAGGGCGAAATCGGAGCACATCAGCCGGATTGATGTGAGACTGGTGAGACTTCCTTCTGGAACTCTTGCATTCTGGTCTCTGGCCAAGGCAGTCCAGGGGAATTTCTGTAGCCAGTCCCTACTACCCCTGCAGATGGGCGATGATTCGTTGGCCTATGATGCCAAGGAGAAAGCTGATCACCTAGAACTCTTTGCGTCCAACTCGACTTTGGATGACAATGGAAGCGTACCGCTGACTATACCGCGGTGCCAGAGACAGCTCTGAACTGGATCACACAGAAATCAGTGCGTAAAGCACTCTTTTCCTTCGATTTTCATAAGTCGAATGGGCCCAATGGAATCTCCCCTATCATGCTAAAGACGTGTGCTCCAGAGTTGGCACCGATTTTAACTCGCCTTTTTCGACTCTCCTACTCCCTAGGCGTCGTTCCGAACTTCTAGAAGGTAGCGTTTGTGCACCCGATCCCAAAATATGTGACCGCTCTGATCAGGCCAACTACAGGCCTATATCCATAACTCCCTGGTTCTCTAAGATTATTTAATCCGTAATCAACTTCCAGCTCCTCCGGAACTTAGAAAATCACGAGCTACCCAAAGACTGACAAGTTTTCGCCGAGGTCGCTCAGCTGGTGATCTTCTTGTTTATCTAACACACCGGTGGTCATAGGCGATCGAGACCAAGGGAGAGGCTGGTGTTTATTCTGCATATCAATGTCATGTTACGAACCAGTGGCATCCATTGCTATGCAGATAGCACGGGAGATGCCTTTTATAACGGCCGTCCCAATATTTCTTAACTTCTTAACTTCTTTAACTTGTGTCTGAAGTTGAAACTTCCTTAGCGGAGGTTTCAGATTGGGGTCTACTGAATCTAGTCCATATTCACCCAAGAAAGACGCAGGTTGGCGCGTTTACCGCAAAAAAGATACCGTTTGTCCTATCGCCTCGGTTCGAGAGCACCTCCCTAACTGGCTCAGCCAGTACTGCGATTTGGCATCGAGATATCGAGCGAAGTCCAGTCTCGAGGTCATTTAGAGGGTAAGGTCAAATTGGCCTCGAAGCAGCTCGGTGTGGTAAACAGACCGAGGCAGTATTTCACTCCATCCCATCACCTCCAACTCTATAAGGCGCAAGTCCAACCGCATATGGAATACTGTTCTCATCTCTATGCAGGGGCAGCACAGTGT